AGTGGAGCAAAAGGTTTGAAATGTACATCATATAAATACATTAAATGGATATTTATATTGCTATGATCTATAATAGATATTTATACTGCTATGATCTATAATAAAAATATTATTCTCCCAAACCACAAAACCTTACTTCACATCAAAATTTTAACAGACTCAGGATAACTTAGGTATTGCCATGGCCTTAATTAGAAAGGGGGGAAAAATCAAGCTACATTCAAATTGCTTTTCCCAAGTAAACATAAACCATCTGAATATATGGAACATTATTTTTGGTCTACTCATTTCAATTGTTCTTTTCTTATTTCTTCTAGTAAGTCCATGTAGCCCTAATTGCATATTAATCTGGTCCATTCCATCCAAGTAGTCCACATTGTTTAATGGGTAAGTAAAAGTATAGCCCGCGGTGGCATAGTGGATTAAACCGCTGAGTTGCTGAGTTTGTTGCCCAAAAGGTCACAGGTTCAAATCCAGGGAGCGGCATGAGCTTCCGCTGTCAGCCCCAGCTTCTGCCAACCTAGCAGTTCGAAAACATGCAAATGTGGGTAGATCAATAGGTACCGCTCCAGCGGGAAGATAACAGCACTCCATGCAGTCATGCTGGCCACGTAACCTTGGAGGTGTCTTTGGCTTACAAATGGAGATCAGTACCACACCCCAGAGTCGGACACGACTGGACTTAATGTCAGGAGAAAACCTTTACCTAAAGGTATAGCACACATATTGCCAGGGAAATGAGTGGAAATATTTTTTGTTCATCTTGTTTATTTACCTTTAGAATATGAAACTGCATAACATTTCAGTAGCAATAAAGTACAAGACTTTTGTTGTTCCAATATTTTGTGGGACAATATGTATTGAACAAGATGGTTTTGCATGATACACCAAAAAACCCTCAAATGATAAAATGCAGAAAAATTGTTAGTACTCTTTGCCTCAGCTGGGTTTTTTTTTCTTTCAATTTTTTTTTAAAATGTATATGACAGACAATTGAAATGCAAAGACTTTGGTTCAATCTCTTGCTGTGCCAGTGTTGCAAAATGTCCATCGTGTGGGTCTCGTTGTGTGTTCTGCAACAAAACTTGAGCCCAGTTATTAAATGCCCCAGCTGTTTTGATAAATTAAGAATGTAGAACTTCCTTCCGGCTTGTGTAATTGATGTACATGATTGTATTGGCAATAAGTAACTTAAGTAATTAAATAACAGGATGGGGCTAAATTTTATTTAGTGCGTATTAAGATGATCTGTAATGAATCTTGGGCAATTGTTGCGGTTCGGCAAGTCTAGAAGCTGACAGAGATTTTGATTAAGATAGTTGGTACATTCCAAACTGAAAATTCATTTCCTAATGATGAAAGGATAGTAAAGGGAATTCCTTGAGATCTGTCAGATTTGCTTGAGAAGTATATAGGGGGAACACCTTTTCTTTGGCCTAATAAAGAGGTCAATATTGCTGCCCATGCATTTTGCAACTTGCAGCTATTTAACAAAGCTGGAAAGCTGCCACTATTCTCTCCTAACCAGAAGATAATATGTTTGTCATCCCATACAGGGACTTGATTCTCTCAAGAACAAGGGTAAAGTCTTTGGAATTAACTTTTGTTGCAATACTTGACTGTCGCACGATCAAGGAAGTTACTTTTCCATTGCTAATAGAATTGAAATGTTATTACTTGTTGTGTATTGCCCTTTGCCCCTAGTTCACGACATTGTCAAGAAGGGCAGTGGGCCTTTGCCTGCAGTGACATCTCTAAGACCATCTTAACTCACAATAGAAATAACATCTGAGATAAACTATACCTATGACATACGTTTTGTGTGACATCATTACTTTTGTAGATCTGTGACATCATCAATTTTCTTCTGTATATTTCCATGATAGAAGAAGCCAGTGAAGCTTTAAAAGTTTATTCAGTGTATTTTGTGAATTATCTTTGGGCAATAATAATAATAATAATAATAACAATAATTTTGTAGACTCTGCAAGGAAGCAGATGAAACAATAGATCACATCCTCAGCTGCTGCAAGAAGATCACACAGACAGACTACAAGCAGAGGGATAACACCATTGCTCAGATGATTCATTGGACCCCGTGCCACAAATACCATCTGCCTGTGACAAAGAACTGGTGGGATCACAAGCCGGAAAGAGTTACAGAAAATGAACATGTCAAACTCCTCTGGGACTTCCAAATTCAGACAGAGTTTTGGAGCACAATACTCCTGACCTCACAATCATGTTAAAAAACAAAGTATGGATTGTCAATGTTGCAATCCCAGGTGACAGCAGGACTGAAGAGAAACAACTGGAAAAGCTGACACGATATGAGGATTTAAATATCGAACTGCAAAGACTCTGGCACAGGCCAGTTAAGGTGGTCCCAGTGGGGATCGGCACACTGGGTGCAGTGCCTAAAGACCTTGGCCTGCACTTAAACACAATCGGCGCTGACAGAATTACCATCTGCCAGCTGCAGAAGACCACCTTACTGGGATCTGCACACATTATTTGCCAATGCATCACACAGTCCTAGACACTTGGGAAGTGTCCGACGTGTGATCCAATACAACAGTTAGCAGAGTGATCTTGTCTTCTGTAGACTCATCTTGTTGTGTTTCAAATTATTATTATTATTATTATTATTATTATTATTATTATTATTATTATTATACTTTATTTGTATTCTGCCCTATTTCCCTGAGGGGTCACAGGGCAGATTACAGCATATACAGACACAAGGCAAACATTCAATACCTCGAAACGATGATACACAGATACACAGATAAAGGTAAAAGCTTCCTCTTCATCTCCGGCTCTGGAGGTGCTGTTCATCTCAATTTTAAAGCCGAAAAGCCTGTGTTGTCCGTAGACACCTCCTAGGTCATGTGGCCTAGGATGACGGCATGGAGCACCGTTTATCGGGCACCGGAACTGTGGCACAGCTGGCTGAGTGTCAGCTGCATTAAGATCACTTCTGACCAAAAAGTCATGAGTTCGAAGCCAGCCCGGGTCGGAGTGAGCTTCCGACCAATTGTATAGCTTGTTGTTGACCTTTGCAACCTGAAAGACAGTTACATCTGTCGAGTAGGAGAATTAGGTACCACCTATGTGTGGGGAGGCTAATTTAACTAATTTATGAGGCAATAAAAAAAGCACTCCAGCAAAGCATGCAGGGAATGTGGAATACTTCATCAGTGTCGCAGACACTGGCGGCCAGAAAAAGTTAAATAGCCTCTGACTGTCTGTCTATATCTGTTGTGTGTCTTTGGCATTGAATGTTTGCCATATGTGTACATTGTAATCCGCCCTGAGTCCCCTGCGGGGTGAGAAGGGCAGAATATAAATACTGTACATAAATAAATTTACCATCCTTCTGAGGCAGTACCTATTGATCTATTCATATTTGCATGTTTTCTAACTGCTAGGTTGGCAGGAGCTGGGGCTAACAGTGATATCTCACCCCATTCCTCAAATTCGAACCACAAATCTTCCGGTATAGAAGTGCAGCAAATCAATGGTTTAACTCGTGCAACCTTGCTCTTTTGTAGGTTTTGGATTTTGCTTTCCATCAACTATGTTATTTTCCCCAGAACTGATAGTATGGGATCTTCTAGAAAGGACTGCTGAACACTGCCAATACAGGGCCTTTGGACTTTGTATCAAAAAGATAAACTGATTTCAAAGGAAGATATGTTGCGGCAAGAACAGATAATGAGCATACTTTGCTTTCATTTACTGCCTGTCTTCTCTCTGGCAACACAGGTTATCTTAGTTCAAAACCACTTGGGAGTTCAGTAGAAGGAAGACCTCTAAAATATATATCTGTGTGTCCTCCTTTTCTGCCTCAAACAAATTTTTCTAACGTTCTGGATTAAAATACGAGATAATTCATAATTAATTCTTAATTCATTCAGTGTGAATCTGCATTTTTCCTTTATTATATCTCACTGTAGCCTGCAGAAAAGTTTTTGAACTTAGGGCCCTTCCACACAGCCATATTACCCAGAATATCAAGGCAGAAAATCCCACTATATCTCAGTGGTTCTCAACTTTCCTAATCCCGTGACCCCTTAATCCAGTCCCTCATGTGGTGGTGACCCCCAATCATAACATTGTTTTCATTGCTACTTCATAACAGTCATTTTACTACTGTTATAAATCATAATGTAAATATCTGATAAGATGTATTTTCATTCACTTGACCAAACTGGGCACAAATACCCAATACACCCAAATGTGAATGGTAGTGGGGTTGGGGGAGGACTGATTTTGTAATTTGGGAGTTGTGGTTGCTGGGATTTATAGTTCACTTATAATCAAAGAGCATTCTGAACTCCACCAGTGATAGATTTGAACCAAACTTGGCTCCCATGACCAACGGAAAACACTGGAAGGGTTTGATGGGCATTGACCTTGAGTTTGGGAGTTGTAGTTCACCTATATCCAGAGAGCACCATGGACTCATGCAATAGTGGATCTGGATCAAACTTGGCACAAATACTCGATATGCCCAAATGTGAACACTGGTGGAGTCTGGGGAAAATAGATCTTGACATTTGGGAGTTGTAGTTCCCGGGATTTATAGTTCATTACAATCAAAGAACATTCTGAACTCCACCAACTATAGAATTGGCTCAAACTTCCCACATGGAATCCCCATGACCATCAGAAAATACTGTGTTTTCTTATGGTCTTTGGTGACCCCTCTGACACCCCCTCGCAACCCCCTCAGGGGTCCCGACCTCCAGGTTGAGAAACACTGCTATATCTGCTTTGAACTGGGATTATACCCCAGTTTAAAGAAAATAATGTAGGATTTTATTCAGCTGTGTGGAAGGGGCCTTACCCTTAAGGGAAGAAGGGGATCTTTATGCAGGCTTCATTTCCATAAATAAGACATAATTGCTCCACAAATGCTACTTTGAACATCCTGTCAACTGACTACCATAAATTGTTTCCACCTTTAATAGCAAATAATACCCAGCACCCCAACATGCTGTGTTTATTTGGTCAAATGGCCATGTATTTATTGGTCCCAACTGTGTTTGAGACAAGCTTACATTACAGGTTATATTTATGGGGGTATTCTAAAGATCCCAAAGCCATAGTTTAAGGATGTGACAGATACAGCTGCAGCTCCATTTAAGATAATTTCACGATGCTCATATGCACTTGATGGTGTGGTATTTTCATTCATTGGGGCTGGAGCAACGTTACCCTCTTGCTGCCCTGCATCTTGTTTTGATCCTGTATCTCTTGAACATGTAACAGGGACAGAGTCAAAAGATATTATTTGTAGAACAAAATTATCGTTGTTTCCCTCGCTTCCTTGAGAACCCTCACTTGGCTGTCCTGTTACGGGCTCTGTTTTGTCATCTGTAGCCATTCTGGTTTGATCTTGATTCTTTTGCTCAGCTGCACGTCTCAAAACTTCTTCTGCAGGAAAAAATAAATATATTGCTAAATAAAAAAGGTTTTTATTGGCTTTAAAGACTCACTTCAGACTTTATGCTGAAAGAATGATTTCCAATCTATAGAAAATCAACACAAATTCAGATAATTATGATTTTCAGATGTTATGACAGCAGTTGAAAGCAGTCGCATGTGGATCAGTGGTTCTCAATCAGATGTTTTGGTCTTCAACTCCCAGAAATCCTCACAACTAGTGAACTGGCTCAGATTTCTGGGAGTTGTAGGCCAAAACACCTGGGGACCCACAGGTTGAGAACTACTGATGTAGATGATAGGTAATATTCCTCCCATCCTTCTTTAGTACTGTATCGACATGTACTGATCGAGGGAAAACTATGTGGAAATACAGTGAAAAATGTTAGTGCTAGCAGAAGAATCACGGAAGCACTGAATAATGGACTCGAGTCACTGGTAAAAAGCAGGTTTCAGCTTTACTTGAGCAGTTCATAAATCCAACACACACCATCAGCGAGCAGATGCGAAAAACACAATAGCGAAAGAGACAGGCACTAAAGACAAACTACAGCTGGAAAGGAGTTATCTCTGACATTCCCTAATTCTTCACACAGCAAGAAATTCAGGGTCACATTCTCACAGCTCTTTTGTGCAAACATACATCCTGGCAATACAATTCTATTACAGTCTATTACAATCACAATCCTATCACATAAAATTGCATTTAAACATACATCATACATAAATCAAACACTGACAAAAAAAGAGGTCTAAGCATTTGTTATACACACTGGTTTGCACATTGATTTTATGAATTTTCCTATTATTTTTTTATCCAAGTAGAAAAATAATAATTTCATAGTAAGTTCTACTACTTCCCGATGTGGTACTAATTATCTAGTATATTTAATGCAAAACTTACTGCTTTTCTTAAAGCAGTTCCTGTTTGAAATCTGGCTCAGGAATGCTCAATTATTTGGGGGCATGTGCACTGTAGAATTAATACTGTTTGACACCACTTTGATTGCTATGGTTCAACACTATGGATTCCTGGGATTTGTACTTTGGTAAGGCAACAGCACTCTTTGGCAGAGAAGGCTGAAGATCTTAGAGAACTACAACTTCCAGGATTCCAAAGCAATGAGCATGATATTTAAAGTGGCATCAAACTGCATTAATTCTACAGTGTAGATGCACAAGTGCATGCCCATTTCAGATTTTTCATTCCTCTGTCCCACAATGTTCCCATAATTTTTATGGCGTTAGGCAATCATACCTGTTTTCCCCTTTCCTCTCTGTTTTACTGTTCATACCTGCTCAGTAAAACACCAGCTGGTATTTTCCTTGCCTGTTGTCGGCAGGCATACACAGCACTAGTAGTATTGGCTAAAGCAGAATCCAGTTCTCTCCCAGCTCAAACTTCATTGCATTGTTTACTGCAGACACACTGTTGGAACCTGATACTGAAAGCCTATGGGCTCTTCCACACAGCCTTATATCCCACAATATCAAGGCAGAAAATCCCACATTATCTCCGAGTGTGGACTCAGATAACCTAGTTCAAAGCAGATATTGTGGGATTTCCTGCCTTGATATTCTGGGATAAAGAGCTGCATGGAAGGGCCCTGTGTTTCTTACTATCCTTCTAATGACAATGTGGTTTTAAAAACCCACCTAGTTAGACATTAATTCTAATTAAGATGTGCCGGGGAGGCCCTGCTCTCGGTCCCACCAACATCACAGACGCGGCTGGTGGGGACCAGGGACAGGGCCTTCTCGGTGGTGACCCCTGCCTGTGGAATTCGCTCCCCAGCGAAATTAGATCAGCGCCCTCCCTCCTTTCTTTCAGAATAAAACTGAAGACGTGGTTGTGGAACCAGGCTTTTGTCTAATGGATATAACGGCACCTGAACCGTGATGATTGTTATAATGGAAATGCCTTTATGACTGATAATGTTGTTTTAATGTGTTGTATGGTATGGTTTTATTCTGCTTTTATAATTGTAAGTATTGCAGCATCGAATTGTTGCCATTGTGAGCCGCTCTGAGTCCCCCTGCGGGGGTGAGAAGAGCGGGGTAAAAATGATGTAAATAAAATAAAATAAAACATAAAGCAGGGCTAGGCAGGTGTAAAAAGAGCTTTTTAAAATATCAAGTTCAACATTGAAATGGTGAAGAAAAGTACCGTTTCCTGCTGTTCTTATATGTTGTTGAACCTACCTATTCTGCAAATTCTGTCATGAATTCACTGGGTGAATGTGATTCCACAGTTTGATAACAATATCTATCCCAGTTATATCTTACCTGTTCATGCCCAGCATTATTTTTTAAATTTTAATTATTACATTTGGCCCAGCCATAGGTTTTTAACGTTTGTTGTGCTACTGTCTTCTCCACACTCGCATGTTGTGTATTATTGCTTATTTTTTGTTTATTTATTTTAACTGTTTTGTATTGTTGTTTGCTATTATTATTGATGTATTGTGGGCTTGGCCTCATGTAAGCCGCACTGAGTCCCTTGGGGAGATGGCAGCGGGGTATAAATAAATTATTATTATTATTATTATTATTATTATTATTATTATTATTATTATATCAATGTCTCCCTGAAGGTGAATACAATTCAGTGTATATGTGTACATTGCATGTATTTTACTTTTCTGTTTGGAACTATCTGCTTGTGTACAGCTTTAGTTCTAGACATCAACTTCTGGAAAATTGTATCTGGATTATGCCAACTCTAGTTTTTCTAGTAGGCCATGCTCTTTGGTTGCCATGATGTACACGCTCCATCCATTTGTTCCCAAGAACATTTCAATTGTGAAATGTTTAAGGCTGGGATTTGTCCCTGAAATTACCAAAAAAATAAACCAAATAGAAATGGTTAATTACCGTTCCACAGAGAAAATATTTCCATGTCACTTTGAGTCAGGTCTGTTGGTAGCAAGTTGACTTTAGGCGGTTGCGGGTCATCCTTCTGAGCAACGGGATCAGGGGGTACAGTTGTTATCTGGGACTGAGAATCATCTGGAATACATTCCTCAATGACAACATCATCACTTTCATTTGGGCCCAGAGCTTTTGTTTCTGTCACCATGCTCCTCATCTCCTTTATGTTTTCAATTGCAGGTTTACTAGCAGCCTTTCTCCAGGAGCTCGGACTATCTACCAATTCCTCTGCAAAATATATACATGCCAAAACATTATTCATCTAAATCATCTTTGGAGAAAAAAGAGTGCTATGTTACAGAGATAATCTCACGGAAACATACATTTTTGCTTTTAAATTGTACATTGATGGAAACTCCCTAAATCATTTCCTTATAAAAGACCAACCAAACAACTAAACATGGAACAATCTAGTGAGATCATTCATTTGGTGCAAGTAACTTGATGTGGGTACTTAATCTGAAATATGTATTCATTTGTATGGAAGTTGTTGCTTTTATATGTTCTCATCTCTGAATTATGGCGACTGTAGCCTAGAAATTTCTTGGCTGAATGTACCGTATATACTCAAGTATAAGCCGACCCGAATATAAGCCGAGGCACCAAATTTTACCACAAAAAAACTGGGAAAGCTTATTGACTCGAGTATAAGCCGAGGGTGGGAAATGCAGCAGTTACTGGTAAATTTCAAAATAAAAATAGATATCAATAAAATTACATTAATTGAGGAATCAGTAGATTAAATGTTTTTGAATATTTACATAAAACTGTAATTTAAGATAAGACTGTCCTGCTCTGATTAAATCATTATTCTAATCTCCAGTGTAAATGTGCTTATGTATCCCTCCAGTAATAATAAAGAGAGTAAAATAATAATAATAATAATAATAATAATAATAATAATAATGAAATCCAGAATATATACCTCATTTGCTGTGTCATACTGTGTTTTTGTGTCAGGATAATAATAATAATAATAATAATAATAATAATAATAATAATAGAGTAAAATAATGGAAATGTAATAAAAGTAATAACAGAGTAAAATTATAAGTGCAGTAACAATAAAAATAAAGTAAAATAATAAATGTAATAAAAATAAAAATAAATAATATTAATAATAGAGTAAAATAATAAATTAATAAATGTAATAAAATAATAATACTGTAGAGTAAAATAATGTAAATATAATAATAATAATAAATATATTAAAATAATTCATGTAATAAAATGATACTAATAACAAAGTAATGTAATAATAAATAACCTTGACTCGAGTATAAGCCGAGGGGAACTTTTTAAGCCTAAAAAGGTGGCTGAAAAACTAGGCTTATACTCGAGTATATATGGTATGTATACATATGTACAGATAGATGGATCAAAGGGATTCTTAGTAGGTAGAGCACATGCTTTGCCCTGGTTGATCGGTCCTAGGCCCCTTCCACACAGCTGCATAAAATCCATATTGAACTGGATTATATGGCAGTGTGGACTCAGATAATCCAGTTCAAAGCATATTTTGTGGATTATCTGCCTTCATATTCTGGGTTAGATGGCGGTGTGGAAGGGCCACTACTTCCCTGCAAGGCTAATTGCCACACTATACAATTTTGTTCCATCCATAGGGTCTCATGACTGACAAAATACAGACTCTCTCCCTAACCCAGTTCATTTCAAAATATGGAAAGCAATCAGTATTAAAGAACAGTATGCATGTATTAACACAGAAGAAAAACAACAGATCTTCAATTTGAAGAGAAATAAGTTTTACCACATACCGTATGATTCAGTGATATCCATGACATCATCCAGTTGTGACTGTGACAGTTCTGATGCATCCGCATTGTAAACTATGAAGCTGACATCAATTGGTTCAAATGCTCTACTATCAGAACATTGGCAATGGCAAAGAGATGGACTTTCAGGCGCGACGCAATCTCTTTTTGGCTTTGAAGGGGGGCGTTTGCCCTTGGAGGCTTTCTGGGATTTCCCCCTCTCTGCTTTACCTTTACTTCTTTGCTCTTTAGTCTTTTTATGCTCAGTTACCATGGATTCTAAAAGGAAAATGAACATTAAAAATCACTGTAAACCTAGGCATTATCCTGACACACAACTTATGTTGCTCTTTCCACAGCTTTGTGAGCAGTAAATTGCGACTTCTTTTTCTCTTGCCCAGTTTGGAATCCTGGACACTTCTTATTTTACTATCATGGTCTCTTTCCCAGGGAGTTTAAAGTTCTCTGTAACAGGAACACACACACACACACAAAACCAATGGGCTGTTTCACAGTTTAGTCACTGGTCCTTTGGGTCACAATTATTTCAGCCTCACCAGCTCCGTGGAATTTACCATCCCCACAAATGGCTCTTTTCTTCTCTTCTAAGAGCATGAAATCATCAGGGTGTAATGCTGGCTTACACTTAGCACACACTTTCTCTTAAATTCTACTGTAAAGGTATTCATCTCCAGCCTGCAAACATGGAGAGTTCCTCAGGAATTCACTGCTGTCATCCTACCTGTGGGCTTTCCACTGTTTGTGTTTTTAAGATTTATGTGTGCGTGTCTTCATGTCTGTAATCTTAAATTGAGAATCACTTTTTACTGCTTCTTCTTTTATCTTGGTTGTTTTTCTCGGTATGTTCAGGGTTGTTTTTCTCGGTATGTTCAGGGTTGTGTAATGAGGAACCTAATCTGATCATTTGTTGATCCTTCCTCCGTTTCATCTCAAGATAGCATGGAGACTATGGACTCTGCTGTCTCCACTCCTCCCTCTTCTCCTACTTTCTTTTCACATCTTTGTCTGATGAAGCAAATGGAGGTTTCAAAAACTTGCACTGAGAATGTATTGCCTTATGAATTTATATCTAGGAATCAGTTAATCTAGAACCACATTTTTAAAATAAAGTTTATCTGCTATTCATATGCATGAAGGAACATTAACTGTATCACAGCTCTTTATATTAAGACAATGATGGGCAAATGGTTGATATTCAGATGTTGTTGTTGTTGTTGTTGTTATTATTATTATTATTATTATTATTATTATTATTATTATTATCCTGTACCAGGAGCTCCAAATTTATTTGCTTTGTATTAAATGTTTGCTTGCAGTCCAAGGTTCCTGGGATTCTGCAGAAGGGTGGCTTCCTTTGGTTGCAGTGATAGGGCAAGTCACCTGTCCATCATCGTTAAGTTTGGTCCCGCCCCTTGCTCAGGGCAATTGGGAAGGGAAGGGAGCCGTTTTTTAGTTAGTCTCAGCAAGGAATGCCAATGTACAGGACATGTGTAAGCTTTCCCTGTACAAAAGCTTCAACCCCTAAGAATTTCCGGGGAGAACAGTTTTAAGAGTCTCCAAAGACTTTCCAGGGAAACAGCCCTAAAGACCAAAGAGCTCCAGCTGGAGAACATCTAAGCCTTTACTGGTAGGTCCACTCAGCGTTTGAGAAGCAGTTCGACCCAGTAGCGGAGCCCACATCAGTAAGGGATAGATTACAGTCAGCCTGGGAGAAGTTAAAAAGGGGACTTTCCTTTTAAGTAAAGAAGAAGTTATTGAAGACAGTTGCCTGTCCTTCGTGGGCAAGTTTAGGATGCTACCAGTTGCATAAAAACCCGGACTCATTTGTTTAACTTTCTGAAGGCAAGAGAAGTTTCTGTTTGATTGTTCATTAATAAAAGACTTTGTTATACTTCAGAAGCCATATAAAGACTATTTGTGGTAGAAAACCTCTGAGAATTTCTCTTTGGGCCCCCGGCTTCCCGCTGGGCAAAGGTTGCACGTCCTGTTCTAAAGGAAATTCTTTACAGGCCCAGCACACGACAGAACAAAAACCATAAAACAATTTCATCAGTCAAGTTGCCGTTCCAGTCCTTGTCCCACTAAAAACTGCATACATCTATTGTCCGAAGGCCTGGTCCCAGAACCATGATTTTACTTTTTTTCTAAAGATCAGGAGCGAAGTAGCAGGTCTTACCTCATTTGGGAGTGTGTTCCATAGGCGGGGGGCCACAGCCGAGAAGGCCCTTCCTGCTCATCATCCCCACCAGTCACATTTGCGCTGTTGACAGGAGTGAGAGCAGGGCCTTCCTGCATGATCTTAAATTGCGAGTTGGGATGTAGGGGCAGATGCGTTTGGACAAGTAAGCTGGGCCCGAACTGTATAGAGCTTTATAGGTCAAAACCAGCACTTTGAATTGGGCTCAGAGATAGACTGGCAGCCAGTGGAGCTAGCATAATGGGGGTGGTATGCTCCCTGTATGCCGCCCCAGATAGTAATCTAGCTGCCGCCCGTTGAACTAACTGAAGTTCCCGAACTGTCTTCAAAGGCAGCCCCACGTAGAGTGTATTGCAGTAATCTGAATTCCCATCAGGTCTTATCATCATCGTCAGTAGTTACACATTAGTGGAGCTGGAATTCAAAACGTCTGCTACTTTCTTCTCATACTTGCATTTATCTTTGGGGCCAGATGATGGTATTTTTCAGATTACAACCTTACTACAAACCTGATGTAGCCATCCTAGTTACAGTTAAATATACAAAGTGGGGGGTTGTTATCATTATTATTACTTCCAGCAATAAACATAAAACAATGCTATTGTGATATTTTGTAGATCCATCTGAATTTGAAAGCTATACTTGGGCAAGCCTGGTTCATACTTGGATGGGAGACTTCAAACAAATACCAGGAACTGAAGGCTACTTTTCAGAGGCACAAACTGGCAAAACCACCCCTGAGTATTACTTCCTTAAGAAAACACTATAAAATTAATGGGGCCGCCATATGTCAGCAAGTGACTTGAAGTCACACACATACCAAACAGCAAAATGGTGAAAGAAATAAAAAGTTAAAGATGTAAAGAAAGGATGGGCTACAGGGACCTTCCAGATGTTTTGTGACTGCCACTCCTATAATTCCTTTTCTTTTCTCCAGTTGGTCATGGCATCAGCTTCTGTCCTTAGCACTTTCATTCCCTCTTGCCCAAAGGTATATTTAACACCCCATCCCATCCACTGCTTGTACCTCACTGGAGTGTCCCACAGCCCAATCCATTTCTCCCAGCCCCTTACCTTCTTTGGTCCCCTTGTCTCCTTCTTTCGTTTCAGGTTCTGCAACCTCTTCCTTCAGTACTGGGAGCTGATTTGTTTGTTCTGTGCAGAAGGAGGAATTGAAACAAATAAATCAAGGGCAGCCTCAATGGGCAAGCCCTTCTTTTCATGCTGCTCCATGCAAGTAGTGGGCCTGATGCATGTGGATAACTTTTGCCTTCATGGAGGAGTGTTCCATTATAACCTGGGTTTCTGCCTGACAGCTAGAGCCATGTTGTCCTTGTGGCTTCTTCTGTGATCTATCTTCTGCACCCATTAATCATTTTCAGTAACATCTTGTTTTATACCAGGGACTTGTTCTGTATTTAGCTACTCCTAAACATCTTGATTATGCCTCAGGTTAATGCCATGTCCTATCCATGATGTTTAAGTATTTGGATCTGTTTTAAATTGTAGCTACTGTTTCATTTTATTTTAATAGTAACTTGCAATACGCTTTACTTCTCTTTTTGTAATGGATTTTTAGAGACTTTTTTGTGTCAGGAGCAACTTGAGAAACTGCAAGTTGCTTCTGGAATGAGAGAATTGTCCATCGGCAAAGACGTTGCCCAGGCGAGGGCTGCATGTTTTGATGTTTGACCATCCTTGTGGGAGGCTTCTCTCATGTCCCTGCTTGGGGAGCTGGAGATGACAGAGGGAGCTCATCCATGCTCTCCCCGGATACGAACCTCTGACCTGTCAGTCTTCAGTCCTGCTGTCACAAGGGTTTAACCCATTGCACCACCAGAGGCTTTTAAAGATTTGCTATGCAACTACACCTGAGGAGCTGCATTTTGAGGCCTACTTGCGTGTTGCCCCTTTAAAAAAGGCAAACCCTTAAGCCTCCCAAGCCAGGTTTCCAAGAAGGCGTTGAGAAGTGAGAAGACAGAGATACAACAGGGTTTATTTGCAAATAAAAGACCTGCGGTAGCAGTATGAAATAAAAGTGCCACACGAATGAAACCTCTCATGAGGTTTACAGATTTTTCAAGTACATTTCACACCTCCAAACACCCTCCTTTCTCATGCCCCTTTTCCCTTTCATCCTGTACATATGGAACTTTGATCAGTTGTTTATCAAAATAGTTCAAGTAAGTAATTTCCCTACGATTTCCCGATTACAAATACTTTAATATATCAAATACCACTAGGACTTCTTGGGTCCTGTTTGAGGCTCCCATTTGGATAGAAAGGAGCCCCTGGTGGCACAGTGGGTTAAACCCCTGTGCCAGCAGGACTGAAGACCGACAGGTTGCAGGTTCGAATCCGGGGAGAGCGCGGATGAGCTCCCTCTATCAGCTCCAGCTCCTCATGCGGGGACATGAGAGAAGCCTCCCACAAGGATGATAACACATCAAAAACATCCGGGCATCCCCTGGGCAATGTCCTTGCAGACGGTCAATTCTCTCATGCCAGAAGCTACTTGCAATTTCTCAAGTCGCTCCTGACACGACAAAAAAAAAAATTGGATAAAAAGTCAAAATACCATTTCTGTTTGAACTTTTTTTCTTCATGGTGTTTATTGCCCTGCCCACCTGTGTGAGTTCCCTGGCTTGACATTCCCATGCAGACCTTCAATTGATTCCTTTTGCATAACTAAGGAAGACATGGGTTGTTTTGGGCTGTTTCCTTAGGGCTCCCTTTTGGTGGTGTTTCATTGCCCTATGAGTCGCTTTCATGTGTGTTTTTCCTGGCAGACTCTTCAATTGATTTCTAAAACTACGACTGTTTATCTTCTTAAATCTGTTCTTTATACTATTGGTATTTATTAATCAAATTAAATCAGATCCTTGTCTCCTGTTTGCCATAATCCATGGTTAAGCCTGACTAAAGAAACTCAAGATATGCACTCAAGAAAGAAGAAGGGAGTTGGAACCCAAAAACTGCTGGGGGAAGGAGCAGAGTATTTTATTTATTACTAGCCATCCCCTGCCACGCGTTGCTGTGGCTCAGTCTGTGTATATGCATTTTGTGTGTATATGTGTGTATATATATTTGTGTATGTGTGTGTTTAAGCGGTTATACATAAATACACATGTGGTTATGCCGAAGCCCACAGTGTCGTAGTGGGTTAAACCGCTGAGCTGTTAAACTTGCTAACCAAAAGGTCGCAGGTTCGAATCCAGGGAGCGGCATGAGCTCCCGCTGTTAGCCTCAGCTTCTGCCAACCTAGCAATTCGAAAACATTCAAATATGAGTAGATCAATAGATACCTCTCTGGCGGGAAGGTAATGGTGCTCCATGCAATCATGCCAGCCACATGACTTTGGAGGTGTCTATGGACAATGCTGGCTCTTGGGCTTAGAAATGGAGATGAGCACCAACCCCCACCCCAAGTCAGACATGACTGAACTTAAGGGGAACAATGTGGTTATGTGCATGCGTTGTAGTGTGTTTTCTTTTTTAGCTTTTTAAGTCTCTTCCGCTGAGTTTTTCAGAATTTTTATGAGTGATCATCACTTGCTGGCCTGATAGGTGTATTGTGTCCAAATTTGGTGTCAATTCACCCAGTGGTTTTTGAGTTATGTTAATCCCACAAACTAACATTACATTTTTATTTATAAAGATTTATTTATTTACTATATTTCTATACCGCCATTCCCAGCCTGGGGGGGACTCATGGCAGTTTACAGAACGGCACAAGTTGATGCCCATAACAATATAAAAATAGTTAAAACATTTAAACCTAGATAAAAATTTACTACATAATAATGTCAATAAAAACATCATAAAACAATAAATCCTCTGCATTTCATTACCAAATCATTATCCAGTCACGTTGTCCAGCCATTCCGAGATCAGAGTTTATCTGCTACACTGTATTTGGGAAAGCCTGCTCAAATAGCCAGGTTTTGACTCTTTTACGAAACATGTGTGAGTGTGGGGGCCAATCTAATGCCCCCAGGGAGGGCATTCCACAGCTGAGGGGCCACCGCTGAGAAGGCCCTGTCTCTCGTCCCTGCCAGCTGAACCTGTGAAGATGGCAGGACCAAGAGCAGGGCTTCCCCATTATTCCACTCCTTTTTTGAAAGACTGGTCCCAAATTTACAAATCATCATAGAGATAGGGAGCATTAATTACAGCTTGGTTTTCCTCCGATATGCAATATGACATACATGAAGACCAAAAGTTACCGTTTTTGCATACCTTCAGGAATTTTTTCCTGACTCTCTTTCCACTTTTCTTTATTATCTTGAATAATCAACAACAAGTGTTCCTTAAATCGAGGTATGTCTAAAACGGATAAAAGCTGTCTTTCTGTGCAAGTCCCAGTTTCAGGACTGTCAGTTTCATCATCTTCACTTTGACTTTCACTTGTATATTGACTCCGACTGCGGGCGGAAAAAAAGAAAAGACAGTTAAAATGAGGTCGCAACAGATGAAATGACTTGTTTGGATGAGCCTTGTGGTCTCTTCCAGTTCTATTTTTCTATGAACACTCAATTTTGGGGTCAGGGACTCAAAGTGAAATTTCTACTTGAGAGTTTTTTGTTTTGTTTTGTTTTTGCTTATCTAGATGTATTACAACCTGGCTTCTGGCAAGTTATAGAATAAAGACGGCCTCCATTGCCTTCGTTACAATGGGAATTGAACACAGAGAATTTGTCCCTGTAAATTCTTCCGGATGTTCCATACCATAAATCATGACACCATCCTGGACAACCTTGCTGTTATGGAAACTGGATACACTGTTTGGTAGTGGCTCCTTTCCTTCCTAGAAGGGAGAGCTCAGAAACAAATATGTTTAAATGTGTTATCGAAGGCTTTCATGGCCAGAATCACTGGGCTGCTGTGAGTTTTTTGGGCTGTATGACCATGTCCCAGAAGCATTCTTTCCTGATGCTTTTCATCTCCAGATAACCAGATGTTCGCCACAGATGCAGGCAAAACTTCAGGAGGGAATACTACTGGAAGATGGCCATACAACCCCCAAAACTCACAGCAATACATATATGTTTTAATTTCATGTAGAAGACACTGAACCAGTATCTTCAAACTGCAGGCTAGCCTATAGCACAGAAACAGCTTTGGTCACTTTGGCAGATGGCCTAGTCTGGAAACTATATTCCTGGTTTTTTGGGGTGTGTTTTGTGTGTGTGTGTGTGTGTGTGCTTGAGGACCGGGACAGCCGTAGGGATACCAAGGTGCTTGTTTATAAAGCTATTGTCTTCCCAACCCTGCTATACGCCTGCGAGACGTGGACTATCTACAGACATCACATGCAACTCCTGAAACGATTCTATCAGTGCTGCCTCCGGAAAATCCTGCAAATCTCTTGGCAAGACAAGCGGATATACATCAGCATGCTGGAAGAAGCAAAGACCACCAGCACTGAAGTGATGGTCCTCCGCCATCAGCTCCCCTGGACCGGCCACGTTGTCTGGATGCCCGACCACCATCTCCCAGAGCAGTTGCTCTACTCCGAACTCAAGAATGGAAAACAGAATGTTGGTGGGCAGGAAAAGAGAGTTAAAGATGGGCTCAAAGCCAACCTTAAAAACTCTGGCATAGACACTGAGAACTGGGAAGCCCTGGCCCTTGAGTGCTCCAGCTGGAGGTCAGCTGCGACCAGCAGTGCTGCAGAATTTGAAGAGGCATGAATGGAGGGTGAAAGAGAGAAACGTGCCAAGAGGAAGGCGTGTCAAGCCAACCCCGACCTGGACCGCCTTCCACCTGGAAACCAATGCCCTCACTGCCGGAGAAGATGCAGATCAAGAATAGAGCTCCACAGTCACCTACGGACCCACCAAAACACTGATCCTGGAAGACTATCCTACTCGGCCAACGAGAGATCGCCTAAGTAAGTAAGTAAGTAAGTAAGTGTGTGTTAGGAGCGAATGCAAGTTGCTTCTGGTGTGAGAGAATTGGCTGTCTGCAAGGACATTGCCCAGGGGACACCCGGATGTTTTGATGTTTTACCATCCTTGTGGGGGGCTTCTCTCATGCTGCCGCACAGGGAGCTAGAGCTGACAGAGGGAGCTCTCCCCGGATTTGAACCTATGACCTGTCAGTATTCACTCCTGCTGGCACAAGGGTTCCTTGATTCTATTGGACTCTCAGCAGCCATCAGTGTCAGCAACAATGCTATTTTTCTGGGCCATTTGTCCAGTGTAGGACTTAAAGCCACTGTTTGCAGTGCATCAATTCTTCTTGCAGGGATGGATTTAGAAGAAGGTGTCTGGAGACACCCTGGCCAAGAAAGGGCCGGAAAAGATCATCTAGAGTTTCAGGGTTCAGTGTCAGGTTTCTGGAATGGACTAGATGAAGGTAAATACATAGAAATTTAATCCAGGCCATATTTGCAAAGGTAAACTAGCATGCCAGACTGTTTATTTGTAAGGTTAAACTATAGTGTGAAGTTAGATCTAGCTACTGTGACACATGCCTTAATAACATCGCATTTGAATTACTATAATGCACTAGGAGCCTCTGGTGGTGCAATGGGTTAAACCCTTGTGCTGGCAGGACCTCTGACAAAAAGGTCGGCAGATCGAATCCGGGGAGCAGGGTGAGTTCCTGTTTGTCAGCTCCAGCTTCCAATGTGGGGACATGAGAGAAGTCTCCCACAAGATGGTAAAACGGCATTATTTTTAAATTTTTTAAATTATTACATTTGGCCCAACCATAGGTTTTTAAATGTTTGTATGTTATTGTTATTGCTATTGTTTATTGTTTATTTTTGTTTATGAGAGTTATTTTACTGTTTTGTATTGCTTATTTTGTTATTGCCTTCATTTTATTGATGTATTGTGGGCTCGGCCTCATGTAAGCCACACCGAGTCCCTTGGGGAGATGGTAGCGGGGTACAAATAAAGTATTATTATTATTATTATTATTATTATTATTGTGTCAGGAGCAAGTCGCTTCTGGTGTGAGAGAATTGGCCGTCTGTAAGGACGTTGCCCAGGGGATGCCTGGATGATTTGATGTTTTTATCATCCTTGTGGGAGGCTTCTCTCATGTCCCCGCATGAAGAGCTGGAGCTGATAGAAGGAGCTCATCCGCCTCTCCCCGGATTCGAACCTGCGACCTGTTGGTCTTCAGTCCTGCCGGCACAGGGGTTTAACCCACTGTTCCACCGGGAGCTCCTCCTAATAATAATAATTATTATTATTATTAAAACATCTGGGCGCTCCCTAGGCAACGTTCTTGCAGACCGCAAATTCTCTCACACCAGAAGCGACTTGCCGTTTCTCAAGTCGCTCCTGACATGAAATGAAATTCCCCTGTTGAAATGGTGTCACTTATTCTCTGAACAGAATTCAAAGTGCTGGTTATGATCTTTAAATCCCTATACAGCTTGGGTCCACATTATTTAAAACACTGCATCTCCCATTATGAATCAGTACAGGTTTTAGGATCTTCAAGGCAGAGCTATATCTCACAGCAAGTTGGAAAAAATGTTATTCAACATATAAATGAAACCATTGGGAGAGTTTATGTGGAGTTTTGGGGTCCGATACCACTAGTGATGAAGACTCTCAGGTCGCTCTTTCCTCCCTAACCCTATCTAAGAAAATTTAAGGCTATCATCTCTAACAGATTGGATGAAGGTAAATAAACTGAAGCTTAATCCCAAATGCTAGGTCAGCATACAATCGGATCCTCTCCTCCTCCCTCGAAATATGTTTACATTGTGGGGGGTCTACTCATGGATTCAGTACTGAACCTGGGAGTTTCTGAATGGGTGACACTTGGAAGGCCATTTGCAGTTTTTATGTTTTTTCTTGTGGCATTGTTTTACTGAGATTTAAGTTGAATTATTTTAATTCTGGGCACCACAATTCAAGAGAGATATTGACAAGCTGGAATGTGTCCAGAGGAGGGTGACTAACATGATCAAGGGTCTGGAGAACAAGCCTATGAGGAGCGGCTTAAGGAGCTGGGCATGTTTAGCCTGAAGAAGAGAAGGCTGAGAGGAGATATGATAGCCATGTATAAATATGTGAGAGGAAGCCACAGGGAGGAGGGAGCAAGCTTGTTTTCTGCTTCCCTGGAGACTAGGACGCGGAACAATGGTTTCAAACTACAAGAGAGGAGATTCCATCTGAACATGAGGAAGAACTTCCTGACTGTGAGAGCCGTTCAGCAGTGGAACTCTCTGCCCCGGAGTGTGGTGGAGGCTCCTTCTTTGGAAGCTTTTAAACAGGGGCTGGATGGCCATCTGTCAGGGGTGATTTGAATGCAATATTCCTGCTTCTTGGCAGGGGGTTGACTGGATGGCCCATGAGGTCTCTTCCAACTCTTTGATTCTATGATTCTATGATTCTAAGAATGTTTCATTCTATTTCTATTTTGTAGCTTTTAAAATTGTGTAGTTTTTTTAAGGGTTGTGAGCCACTTTGGGTCTTGATCCAAAGAAGAAAGCAAGGTACTAATGTAATAACAATAGTAGCAGCAGCAACAACAACAAGTATTATTTTACTCTGTGGTTTTACTTTTTATAAGCAGCTTTTATTCCCAGGTTTGGGGAAAAGTTGGGCTATAGATGCTGATTGACATTATTAAGAACTAGGGTATCAATCGCCGCTTTGAGTCTCCTTGTGGAGAGAAAAAGTAGGGTATAAATAAACATGTACAAATAATAATAATAATAATAATAATAATAATAATAATAATAATAATAATAATAATTGAAGACTGCAAAAATAAAGTTAGCACAAGACAAGGGTTTTTTTTTTTCATACCGCTGCTGTTTGGAGGAAGAAGCACATTTTGATTTAGAAGCTTCCTTTATAAGAGGAGCAACAATTTTTTCAAGGACTTCAAATAGAAGAACAAATAAAGGTCTTATTATGATTTCAATAAATCCTGTAAAGAAGAAAAAATTCAGACACAATGTTTACATTTCTTGCAGATGAAGAAACTTCAGTCAATACAGAGTCATGAGAATGCAGAAATTTAGCTAAACTAAACTTGATAATCCATATTATCAAAGGAGATAATCCACATCTGCTTTGAACTGGATTATATTGATGCCGAGCCCTCCCCCGCCCTTCCTGGGTCAAAATTAATTAAAGTATATAGCTGAAACCGTAGCAGGGAGTCCCACGGAGAGCAGGAGCCCAGAGCTGGACAGTCCTTCAGATGATCAGAGGAGTGGAGAAACCTTGTAGTAGCTACCAAACACCCCGGATACCTTCTAGCTTCCCCTCTATTACAAAGTAACCCCTTCAATAAACATACACTTCGGTATGTCACCCCTCGCCCTGTGAGTACCCCGGTTCTTGTGTTTGGGAGCCCCTAATATTCGCAGATCCTCTCTGTGTGTATAATGTCATATTTTGTGTTTCATATAAAACTTTGGGAGATCAAACCACCAATCAAGACTCAGGTAACCTTTCAACAGCACCTCTTGTCCCTGAAATTCCCTGCAGCAATTTTCCTGGTCATCAACTCGAAAATGAACCCAAGCACCCATCATCACAGGAATCAGTCCATCTCTATTGATTCCCATAAAACTGACTGCACATGGGATGACAGGATCTGTACACTGGGCTGCCTGCCCTTTGTGCAACAACATAGACACAAAAGGACAATAATGACCCAGAACTCCTTCAGTATGCCAGGAGTATTGCCTCGGTTTTCCACAAAGCCATTCCCCTTTTCCCCAAGGATGGATCATCAAATTCCATCATCCTAAACAATATCTTGCCATGAGAAACAATGGACACTAGTGCAGAATCACTAGACCTGCATGATTGGGGACTCATAGACAATCAGCAAGACAATAAAACTGGTGTGACCAAATGGCCCCTCTTTGTCCATCCTGGAGTTGGGACACCATAATCCACTCATAGAACTATGCATCTCTTTGTCTACATGGTCATTCTGCCTCCTGTTAGACCAAGGGTCCCCAAACTAAGGCCCAGGGGCCGGATACAGCCCTCCAAGGTCATTTACCTGGCCCTCGCTCAGGGTCAACCTGAGTCTGAAATGACTTGAAAGCACACAACAACAAAAATAACAACAACAATCCTATCTCATCAGCCAAAAGCAGGCCCACACATCCCATTGAAATACTAATAAGTTTATATTTGTTAAAATTGTTCTTCATTTTAATTATTGTATTGTTTTTAAGTGTTTTTTTTGCACTACAAATAAGATGTGTGCAATGTGCATAGAAATTCATTCATATTTTTTTTCAAATTATAATCCGGCCCCCCAGCAGTTTGAGGGACGATGACCTGGCCCTCTGTGTAAAAAGTTTGAGGACCCCTGTGTTAGACATTGGAGAGCAGAAATCTGCATCAGAAGTGGGGAATGCTCTCTGATTGGTTGGTGGGTGATGCAATCCCGCCTCACAGAGGGAATCCTCCCAGCTGGTATGATGTCAGAGACCGGCTCTGCCAATCAGCTTGAAGCCAGCTCCAGCTAGGGTGTGAGCAGGAAAAACAAGAGACATTACTGTATAAAAGTGTCTGTTTTATTTTTATCAAGCATGTTCAGCTTCTTTCAGTGGTGTACCACTGGCTGGCTTCTATTCTCAGTGGCTTCTGCTTCAACTGGTGAGATTTTTTTGATTGGGGAATGTTGGGTTTTAGCTTTAAGTCTCACCAAACACGGACTCACAGCAGCCTAGCGCTGGATCCCACTATCCTCTTGTCAGGCTTCTGTATCCGCGTACTGGGTCTCGCTATCCACACTCCGGATCTAACTATCCATGAACTGCTCTAAATTTCAATATGAGTCTATACTGCCATATAATACACTTCAAAGCAGATAATCTGGATAATCACAGAGGACTGGGCGACTTGGAAGGCGCTGAACAGACTGCGCTCTGGCACCACGAGATGCAGAGCCAACCTTCAGAAATGGGGCTACAAAGTGGAATCCTCGACATGCGAGTGTGGAGAGGAGCAAACCACTGACCACCTGCTGCATTGCAACCTGAGCCCTGCCACATGCACAATGGAGGACCTTCTTGCGGCAACACCAGAGGCACTCCAAGTGGCCAGATACTGGTCAAAGGACATTTAATCAACTACCAAACTCACAATTTTTTTTTTTGTTTGCTTTGTTCTGTTAGAAATGTAATATAATTTGACTGGTTGTCCTGACACGACAAATAAATATCTGGATTGTATATGGCAGTGTAAATGGGGTCCCAGTCTTCTCTCTCCAACCCAAAGGCTCATTTGTGGAAGTGCCTGGGAGGAAAGTCTAGAGATATATGGAATTACACTTACAAAATGTATTTGTTCCAACTTACAAACAAATTCAACTTTAAAACAAACCTATAGAACCTATAATTTGGGGACTACCTGTATCTTAATTTAAGAATGAGAAATGGTCCCCCCATCACACTGCTCTTAAATGAACCTCACCTATTTGAGATTCAGAAATCTTTGTAGTCTTGCGATCACAGAGAGAAGAAATTGGCAATCCCAATGCAGCCTCCTTGTCACCCTGGAGTTGGAAGAAATGTATACAGACATAAGAGATCTTGAATAACATTGTGTACATCAAAGTCACATCTTGTTCACATACAATCATAGCTTAAAAGCAAGAAAAACACACAAAACCACAAAACATACATTTCAGAGAGCAAAACTTTAACATCCAACATGTAAAATGTGAAACCACAGAGATTTCAAGTACAGGCAGTCCCAAGTTACAAACATCCGACTTACAAATGACTCCTAGATGAGATAACAGAAAGTGAGAGAAATCTCCCCCTAGGAAACGGAATTCACTCCTGGAAGAGTTATCACAGGGGAAAGGTGTCTCCATTGAAGCTTTATAACCAATCCTTGTTTTTCAAAATCCAATTATCATAGGGACAGAAAATGCGACCAAATATTGCTGGAGTTACACTTAAAAATAAATCTGTTCCGGTTTACAAACTAATTAAACTTGAGGACAACCTTACAGAACTTATCTTGGGTTGCTGTGAGTTTTCCGGGCTGTACGGTCATCTGGAACATGGCCATACAGCCTGGAAAACTCACAGCAACCCAGTGTCCATGAAAGCATTCTACAACATATAGAACTCATCTTGTTTGTAACTTAAGATCTGCCTGTACTTGCAAGAAAAATCTGATCTTGGGTTCATGTACCGGTTAGTAAACAAGCATTAAACTAAGCTCTATGTGATAATGGATAATGGCAATTTAATGAAATTAACCAAAGCCTTGATATGAAGCCCATGGGAAAATGTTCTGGACTTATTCCAGCTTAGAACAAAACCCATGGTGTGTTAACCGAGCATTTTAGCACCCAAAGTATTTATCTGACGTAGATACTAGGGCTGGGCGGTTTCGTTTCGTTAATTCGTAATTCGTCAATAATTCGTTAATTTTTTTAATTACAAAACGATAACAAACCATTCTGGAGCAATTTTTTTAAAAAACGAATTTTTAAATAGTTTTGTAAATGCTTCGTATTTCGTTATTGTATTCGTTTCGTTATTGTTTTGAGGTCGTTTCGTTATTATATCCGCATGTCTGGGGCAAGTTTTATGGTTGTTTAATTAGTGAAAAAAAATTATAATATCACACCAACAGTCAACAACAGAGGGAGAGGGAAGCTTCAGAAGTTTTTGGAGGTTTTTTAGCGTATTTCGCGGTCGCGTCCGCCATTAACGAATCGATTCGTTATTGTTTCGGAAATCGATTCGTTAATGTTTTGTAATTTTTTTCACATTTACGAAATTTCGTGAATATCGAACTTTTTAAAAGGAAAATTTTGTAATTATTTTAAATAACGAAACGCAAAAACCCCCAAAAAACGAATCGATTTTAGAAACAAATTTTTCCGTTGTTACCCAGGCCTAGTAGATACACTATAATTTGTAATATGAAAGGCTAATGTTCATGTTACTATTTAAGTAAACATACTTGTGAGAATGCCACCTTAGCTTAGAGTGTTTTTAAAAAATCTATCAATCTTTATTGAGGGCCTCATTTGAACTGATACTATAATGCAACTTCGAAATGACTCAAAACTGCAGTGACCACAAAACGCAAGCCACCAATGCGCACTACAGTTTACATTTAAGTATATATTTATTAACTAATCTTTTAAAAAAATTAATCCAAATCTATTGCAAAATCACGTGGAGCACTCTAAGGAGAGTTTGGTTTTCTTGTCATAAACCTGTACTTGTTTGCAGCACAAATGCATGGGTTGGGTATTTTTTCTCTCTCAAATAATCTTTAAAACGTGCCTGGTTTTTCTGTTGGGTGTTTCTCTTTCATGCAAAAATGTTAATGATACCTGTTCACCCTTAAAATAGTGCAGAAAGAATCTTACAATGTATAGATGTGGCAACTGTATATAAATAGGTGATTGTCTAATAAAGGATAATGTGCACCTATCCCAAGCTCATTTTAGCAGCAAAAGGGCCTATTATTTGGCAGGAATGTTTGTTCTGATGGGATTCTAACAGAAATACACAGGTTGGCTATGCAGCATAGCAGGAAAGGCTTGTACCACTTGCTTTGCATTTGGATTTCACCAGCAGCTAAATTGGCAGTTTTGTAACAGTACCATTAGCTAGATTAGTTGCTTTGTTAAATGTATTAAAGATTAAAGCCGTTCTGCACCTCCAGTTTGGTTCAAATCCCTTCCCCCTTCCCCTTCCCCTTCCCCTTCCCCTTCCCTTCCCTTCCCTTCCCTTCCCTTCCCTTCCCTTCCCTTCCCTTCCCTTCCCTTCCCTTCCCTTCCCTTCCCTTCCCTTCCCTTCCCTTCCCTTCCTTCCTTCCTTCCTTCCTTCCTTCCTTCCTTCCTTCCTTCCTTCCTTCCTTCCTTCCTTCTTTCCTCCCTCCCTCTGTCCCTCTCTTCCCTCCCTCCCCTCCCTCCCTTCTTCTTTCCTTCCTTCTCCCTCCCTTTCCTGCTCTTCAGCATTAGCATCACTTGCTTTTTAGAAACTGTTCTAGAGAAGCAGTGTGGTGTGGCAAAGGATGGGCCATAAGCACTAGCCAGGATAACTGAAAACAAGAGATATTGGGAGGGCTGTGCTTTGTTTACGCCTAGTACAGCAGCTATCATATGGAAGTTGATACAGGGAAACTGTGTCCCTGCAATTCCCTGCCAAGCCCTCAAGCTCATTTGCCCTGGGGACATGTCACCAAGATTTGTTTGTAGCTCTATGGGGAGGCCCTGCTCTCTGTCCCGCCTGCATCACAGGTGCGTTTGGCAGGGACAAGAGACAGGGCCTTCTCAGTGGTGGCCCCTCGGCTGTGGAACGCCCTGCCTGCAGATATTAGATTGGCCCCCTCCCTGCTGGCGTTCCGGAGGAAAGTGAAGACCTGGCTGTTCGAACAAGCATTTGATTAAACAGTGTAATTGAACATAGGAATACGGAATAATGGATGATGAGACTGGATTCTGATTTTACTGTTGAGGCACTAATGATTGTTATACTGATGTTTAATGATTTATGTTAAAATTGTTTTTAATTGCCCTATACTTGTCTCATGATGTTTTCTATTGATGTTGTTCACCGCTTTGAGTCACCTGAGGGCTGAGAAAAGCGGAATATAAATAAAGTAAATAAATAAATAAATATGGTGTAGCCAAAGCTCAGTGGGTTGAAGCACAAAGACTTTCCAGTTTCTACTTGATGACCTTCTGACGTCAACTCTCCTGGCTCCATTGTTTTCAGTGACCATGTGGTGAACCCATTACAGGGTTTTCTGAGCAAATTTTAGTTGGAGGGAGTTTGCCTTCACCTTCTTCTGAAATTGATAGGGTGCAACTTGCCCATACATTTTTATGGCCAAGAGGGAATTTGTAGCCTAGGGCCCTTCCAGAAAGTGCAGGACCTGTCGCACTTTTACCTGAGAAGTCCAAATGACACTGCAGGCAAAGGCGAATTTATTTGGAACAAAGCAGGATTTCCCTGCTTTTTTCTGAATTTGATTGGACACCTGGTAAGACCCAGATCTTAGGTAAGATTCGGGTCTAACCAGTTGTAGGCCCTGTGTGGATTGGGCCCCAGTACCGTGTCATGCAATTCCTGGGCCCAATCCACACAGCCATCTCAATTTTTCAGGCTCCGTGAGCACAGAAAATTGAGAGAGCACCCATTTCTTTTCCCCAAACCCCTAAATAAGCCTTTACATATAAAAAGTCACCAGGATGGCATTATGGTGGTCCTTCCATCCTCCTGGTTAATAGAAATGACGTACCAGGAGATGGAGAGGCGAGTAGCAAAATCGCTCTCCCTTTCCCCCTTGTCTCCTATTGTGTCATTTCTATATGCAAGGAGGATGGTAGGATCACCGTAATGGCGGTATGATACGTTTTTTAGAAATAATTAAGGCTTATTTTGGGGGGCTTCTGAGTGGGTGGATACCATCCCAGTAGTTACCAGGATGGCATCTAAACACCCTGCCCAGGAAAGCCTGGATTTGGGTAGCTTGTGGGGACAAAAATCCACGCCAAAGTGGGTTTTTAAAATCCGCTTCGGTGCAGGTTTTATCCCTGTCTGGAAGTGCCCCTAGTCTCTAGAGTTATATTATAATGCTCAAACAACTACACCACTCTGGCTCTCATGCACACTTGCAAGGAAATACCAATCAATTCAGTTTTTATCAATGCTATAATAATAATAATAATAATAATAATAATAATAATAATAATAATACTTTATTTATACCCCACTACCATCTCCCCAAGGGATTCGGTGCGGCTTCATAATTTCAACAGGGCGACAAATCCAATCACTTGACACAACTGAATTTAACGACCAAACAATTAAAGCTGTTTGCTTGTTGGGACGAGGCTTTTGGTATTCATGCACATTTGTCTTTCACTAAAGATCTTTTCAATAAACATTGATAAAACATTTTTCAATAAACATTGATAAAACTAATTGTACAAAAGAAAATATCCAAATAACTGGCAGAACAACTGAAATGCCCAGGAATGGCTTTATGATGTATTTCCTAATGTAATTTTTGAAAAACGCACCTGATGAAAGAATTCTTCCATTAATGCTTCTGACCATTTTTTGTGCAAATGCCAGGGCTTTGCTGGATGACTTATGTCAGCGGTATGTACAATGAAAGCCATGACTTTATCTTTGTGTACCCTATCAAATGAAGGACATTATCTGGTTATCTCAGCAAAAACAACCATTTTACTGAAAGATACTTTACGATTCTTAATCCCACCCCCCACCCCCCCGTTCACCCACTCCCCTGCCCCTCAATAATCAACCTTTTCATTTGCTGCGTTTGTTGAATGTTTTTCATGAAATTCATTTGGTTGAAATGCTGTGACATATCTGTAGCTAAAATCATCTCAATGACCAGGCGGCGTAACTCTCTGAAAACAAACAGATCCATACTTTGTTTAAGATATTTTCTAAGCAAAGATTTTCAAATGTGCTATGTCCTTGTGCTACTTGATATCCTGGGAAAGAAATTGCCCACCTTGAAGCAGTGATCTTATTATCTTTACATATTAATGCCTTCTATTAAATCCTTGTTGTCACTTCTTATTCTGTTTTGTGAAACAGTAAGATGTTACTGAATGACCCGATCATTCAGATGGGAGAATTTTTTTTTGATTTAACATAAAATTGCCAACTGTCGTATTAAGGGTGCTTGTTTTGTTTACTTTTTCTTTCTCTCTTTGTAGAGCTCTGTGTACATTTAAGGGATAATGATAGAGGACCAAAAAGTAAGAGGAAGTGCAGTGATGGACCAAAAGGAAGGGATGAACACCCAGAAATCCTAACAGCTGGTAAACTGGCTGGGATTTCTAGGAGTTGTAGGCCAACATGGGAACCCGCAGGTTGAGAACCACTGGTCTAGACATTCTGACCATCTAGCCTGTGTTGTAAGAGTTCAAACAAACAAGGGCAAAGTAGGATCACAGAACCATAGAGCTTTAAGCAAACCCAAAGACCATCCAGTCCAACCCCTTGCCATGCAGGAAAATACAGTCAAAGCATTCCTGACAGATGGCCATCCAGCCTCTGCTGAAAAACATAATTCTCTGGATTTTCCATCACTGTCCAATGCAGCATATTCCTCTGCTGAACTTTTCTCCCTGTTGAACTTCAATGCACACTTAGGCAAGGGCGATGCCTTCCCCATGTGATGGGGAAAGTGTCACCAAGGGGGAGCAGATATGCCCCGCTGCCCCTCTCTTTTCTCCCAGATGGCAGGTAAAGCAGGGCACTTTGCCTGGCCTTTATGAGGAGGCCCATAGTTGTGTTTGTCACTTATAGTTTAGAAGGAGTTAGTAAATCCTCTGAATCTAGTTTCCCCAAAACCAATTCACTACTTTCTTCAGGTCTCCAGGTGAGTGACTGAACTAATTAGTCACAAGACTGTCATTAATTTAACACCAGCATTCCTCATATTGTCTTACCTCCATTCTTCTGCAGTTAAATTGACTAAAATGTTCATTTCATCTCTTTGCATAAGATGGTAAACAGCACTCACATGATGATTTTCAAGAACAGATTTGTCATTATATAAAATAGCGGCTTCCGACCTAGTATAAAATCAACAAAATGTTCATGTTAACTGTTAATTTAGAAGGGAATCTTTAGGTCTTCCAGCACAACTTTGTGGTCAGCTTCCACAATGGAAGATCCATAGATTCCTTAAATTTAATCCAAACCATGCATAATCAAATCTTCAAAAGTCAAACCCACAAATATTATGCCCTTGTTTCAGAATAGTGATTTTCCAACAGTGATTGGAGAAGTGTCCTCTCTACAAGGATTGCATCTGAGAGAAGTGGGAAACAACACCTACTCAGTTCACCCTGCTCTTTGTAGTGCCAACTCTCCTTGAGTTGTTTGCTTATCTGTGCAAATATGCAGATTACAAGCATATCATTAGGGACAGTTGTATCTTGTTGGCTTTAAGTAAGCCATTAAAGAGACCTTTTGTCAGAAGAAACAAACTTTTGGAGATAGTTATTTAAAATGAACTCATAAAGGTGAGATTCCCTGGGAGTTCGTTAAACTGTCTCAGTATGATCTGAGAAAAGCAATTTCCCCAGAAAATATCATTTTTAAAGTTTGTTCTGCTTTGCTGTGGATTTCTTTTGCAGCTCAAGATGTTTGGTGACCATCAGGCGAATGGAGTATATACCCAGGGAACTCCGGAACTCTATGCAGTGTTCCATGCCAGGTAGGTTCAAGGCAGAAAAGGTTCTCTGAAAGAATAATAATATTGGCTCAGCATATAAGAAAATCCAACCAGTCCATACTTCAGGAAATAAAGATCGACTGATCATTGGAGGGAGGAATAATAGAGGCCAAGATGAAGTACTTTGGTCACATCATGAGAAGAAAGGAAAGCTTGGAGAAGACAATGATGCTGAGGAAACTGGAAAGAAAAAGGAAGAGGGGTGACCAAGGGCAAGATGGATGGGTGGGATCCTTGAAGTGACTGGATTGACCTTGAAGGAGCTGCGGGTGGTGAGGGCCGACAGGGAGCACTGGCGTGGGCTGGTCCATAAGGTCACGAATAGTCGGAAATTACTGAACAACAACACAAAGGGGGCACTCAAGTTACCAAGTGACTGTATTTTCCTGCCAACACATCTATTACTTCAGCTTATGGTATGTATGTACCACACTTTCATGCCTCCTTCATGTTATTCAAGTTTGCTTGTCCCCACAGTCTTCCTTCCTTTAACCATCCTGTCCCTACGTTAAGTTCTGCACTTTATTTTGGCCCTTTATTGGCTGCCTCAACACTTTTGCCAACCCATGTTAATTCAATTTTCGCCCTTTCACTTTTAGGAAATATTTGCACTCACTGATCCTGAACTCAACTATGACCTTTAACTCAGCCATATTGTTTTATGGTGCTGTTTATGATTGTGTTATGTTTTATTATTTTTATGTGATTGATTTAACTGTGTCTTTGATTTTATCTGTATTTTTTGGGCTTGTCCCTCTGTAAGCCACCCCAAGTCACCTAGGGGAGATGGTGGCGAGGTATAAAAATAAAGTTATTATATTATTATTATTAATGATATTAGGTATAGGATCACAGTCTAAGGCACTCTGGCCTCTTGGTTTCCAAGGGAGCTGAATATGGTAGGGCTGACATATGGTAGAATATGGTAGGGCTGGTACAGAAGGCTTACCTTGTCTCAACATTGAAATGATTTGTGGTCCCAGGATGGTCATAATCATGGATTGAGGTGCTGAAAATGATTGCTAACATCTCCAGATCAGTGAACCAGTGCTGGGAGAAAAAAATGAAAACCAGTCATGTTCAGTATGCTGGTAATTTTAGATGAACTTAGCATGAAGATGCGGGAGATCTGTATAGGATCACTTATGGCTAAAAAGACATTAATAGTTGGGATGGGACTGTACAATAACTGGATCATCATTTCTCTGGAGTGCAGCAGTCACTGGTTTAAGGCTCCTTCCCGCAATGCCATAATCCAGGAAACCTATCAATAATAATAATAATAATAATAATAATAATAATAATAATAATGGCTCTGGCAAACACCAGCACAGGTGGTCCTAGTGGTCACTGGCACACTAGGTGCCATTCCAAAAGATCTCAGCCAGCATTTGGAAACAATAAACATCGACAAAATCACAATCTGTCAACTGCAAAAGGCCGCCTTACTTGGATCTGCACGCATCATTCGAAAATACATCACACAGTCCTAGACGCTTGGGAAGTGTTCGACTTGTGATTTTGTGATATGAAAACCAGCATATAGATCTCATTTGCTGTGACATACTGCACTTTATTTATATTCTTCTTTATCTCCCTGGAGGGACTCAGAGCACATTACAGTACACATCTAAGGCAAACATTCAATACCTTTTACACAATGAACGACATACAATTCACAGATAAGGTAAAGGGGACGGATGGACGGACTCTGATATGTAAACATCTAGTATGCCACCATGGCTTTTGTCAGATCTTTTTCTTTAGGTGGTATGTCTTACCATGATTCCAGTATGAAGCAAGATGGTGTGCACAGTTTGAGTGACATCTGCGGCATGGATTGAATTGTGATACGAATTTTTATATTTGTTGTAACCAGCTTCCAAAGCACTCGCAAATGAAATCAGGCAAGTAATAGGAATCTGTAAAAGGCAAGAAACAAATATAAACAACATGGGTTGCTGTGAGTTTCCCGGGTTGTATGGCCATGTTCCAGAAGCATTCACTCCTGACATTTTGCCCATATCTATGACAGGAATCTTCAGAAGTTTTGAGGATGCCTGGCATAGATGTGAGCAAAATGTCAGGAGAGAATGCTCCTGGAACATGGCCATATAGCCCGGAAAACTCACAACAACCCAGTGATTCTGGCCATGAAAGCCTTTGGCAAAATATAAACATTTTTGGAGCAACACTGGCAAAATCAGGTGTGGAATATATCATTCACACCTGATCTGAACTTATCACTCAGATATATCATTTGGGTAAATAAAACCAATGATGGAGGTTTAGACATTCAGTGGTCATGTAGCCAGAAACAAGTAGAGTATCCATGGATTTTCAAACAAACCTTCCAAAGGAAATCCTATTAGTTCTCTCTCCTAGCCCCCCAAAAGTTTCCCAAATCTTTAAAGAGATGAAGGAAACTGCTAATCACCCCAAAATATAAGATGTCCTTATATCATTATCCTGTGCTATGTCTAAATTGTACAGTTTATGCTATCACAGTAGACATACTGTTTGTGGAGAGGGGCAGGATATGCCTATACTCTTTGCTCCCTGTTGTAAGAGGTGCTTTTTATTTTATAGTTGTCAGAATTTCTTCTAACCCAAAGACTATATATCTTGCCTAGCTATTAATATGGAGTGTTTCTGTAAACATCGCTTTAAAGGAAAATGAATTTATTTGGTTCTGGACTATTTTGCATGAGGCCAACAAACCAGAATTGCAGCTGGACCATCCCTTCCCAGCTGTTAACATGTAAAATATGTCAACAGCTTCCAGTCCCACAGTGATCCCACCACTTACCTTGTGTGATTGGTTCCTTCTGCTCCTATGCCTCCCTGACAGCAATAAAGTGACATTAAGGGACAAAATTCTCCTTCCACCTTGCTATTCTCAAGCTGGCTGTTTTCCTTTTATTTTATATATTTATATTTTGGCTATTTAAAAATGCTGAATTGTTAAAGTGTGCTAAAAATAACAATAATAATTTACGGTACTGTTCCATTATCTGGGCGGAAGCCCTGAGAAGGCACTAGAGAGAGAAGTAAAGTCAATTTTACAGTGAGGGAGTTGAAGGAGGAAAAACATTTCCCCCATTTTCAAGACTTATTTCCCCTCCTCCACTTATCATAACCAATGGTTGTTTCCACGACGGTGACATGGATGGAGGGAATAACAGGAAAACGGAGTGAAATGGTTTTCCTCCTTCAACCCACCTCGACTGGCATGAAATGGACTATCCTTCTCTCTCTAGCACCCCCTTGTGGCCTCCGCCCAGATAATGGAACAGTACCTAATTTAAGGAGGGTGAGTTTACAAGGATGTGTAGAAGTACAGTCAAGAGATCACTGAATCAGTAATCTCTTGACTCTCTAGCACCCCCTTGTGGCCTCCGCCCAGATAATGGAACAGTACCTAATTTAAGGAAGATGAGTTTACAAAGATGTGTAGAAGTACAGTCAAGAGATCACTGACTGTTGAATCAGTGATCTCTTGACTCTCTAGCACCCCCTTGTGGCCTCCACCCAGATAACAGAACAGTACCTAATTTAAGGAAGTTGAGTTTACAAGGATGTGTAGAAATACAGTCAAGAGATCACTGACTGGTGAATCGGCACAATTGTGCTACCAACAAGAAGTGCATTATCAAAGGTGTTCAACACAGTATGGAGCAGCTATCAACAATAACATGACTATAGTGGAATAGCAGGTTTGTGTGATTAACAATTCAGACTTGCCATGCTTCTTTCTTTAACTCGCCCCCCCCCCAAACCCAACTTCGATTTATTTCATTTATTTTTATCCTGCATTTCTCCTGAAATAGAGACCTCGAGACAACTAACAATAAAAAGCTAGTAAGACTTGACATGGAGTTAGGATCCTCACCTTGAACTGGCTCAGAAGGTTATATTTGCTTAACAGCTCACACATCATATATTTCAAGCTGTGTCCTTGACTCGCTTCATTTAAGGCAAACACATCAAAGCCCCATTTATCGATATCCTGTTGGTAAAGGGCAAATATAAATATAAATAAATTACATATCTAAGCAATTCTGTTTGAAATACTGTTAGATGAATAAAGAAAATCTGGTACTGTTCCATTATCCGGGCGGAGACCACAAGGGGGTGCTAGTGCGAGAAGGATAATCCATTTTACAGGGGTGGAGGGAGTTGAAGGAGGAAAACAATTTCCCCCTGTTTTCCTGTAATTCCCCCACCCGTGTCCCTGTCATGGAAACAACTCTGGTTTATGAAATGAGAAGTGGGGAGAGGGAATAACCAGTGAAAATGCGGGAAATGGTTTTCCTCCTTCAACTCCCTCTCCCATAACATGGACTGCCCTTCTCTCTCTAGCGCCCTCTTGTGGCCTCCACCTGGATAATGGAACAGTACTGAAAATATAAATACAAATAATTACCTAGGGGTAGATCTCACAGTATACCTGTGGAAAACTATTTCAATTACATAATTTGAGCAAAATCAATTCTATCACTCTGCTGTACATGGTCTGCTTCCCACAACAAGTGATGCCAGGTAGAAGGTGGAGTCTATTACAGGCTCAAAGCATCTTTGTTGTTTCCTCTGAGCATGATCTCACAGTCATAAGACTTGACCTTTATGGGACACAATATTTCTGAAATTGGAAAACAAATTTGAAACCATTGCTATGAAATCACCTTTAAGGTATAAGCAAATGCATAAGTGAAAGGTGATTTCATACCACGCTGATGTGGTTTGCTTTGGACTTACCATAAAATTTTGTCAGCTGCAAAATCTGAATGTTTTTATCTTAAACTGCTGCTTGAAGGCAGTGTAAACAAGGTATTAATGGCATTATGAGAACAAAGCAAATTTCAGCTCACATTAAGGAAATGATTTCTGTTTTTAGGTGCCTTTGTATTCAGCAAATCGGAGTTTCAGTCCAGATGAGGGGTATTTTTATTTTTTAATAAAGGAGGTCCTGAAAGCCGGATTTGGAAAAAAATTGCTTGGAAGCTGAATGCAGCCTACAGTCTGCACTTTCTCCACCTATTACCTTCAAGCTATGAGTATAGGATGCTATGAAACACAAGTTAATTTAGAGTTCACACTTGAGTCCCATCTCCAAGACAGTCCATTATGTGTCTATGTGAAAATACAGATTTTCAAAATCTGGAAGAAGAAAAAAACCCCAAATCCCCCAAACTTGTGGTCCCAAGCATTTTGGATAAGGGATGCTTAACCTGTATATATACTGAGACATGTAGTATAGGTTAAGCCTTTGACAACACAGTATAGGTTGAGTATCTCTTATTATGCTAAGTGCTTTTATTTAAGGGGGATAACAGATACTGATTGTACTGGTCCATTTAGTTTTCTTGGCAAGGATACTGGGGTGGTTTGCCATTGCCTTCCCCAGGGATCATGCTTGGTCTGACCTCTCTGCCACGACCATCCCATCTTGGTTTCGCTCATGACATCATTGAGGTGTTCAAGCTCCAGCGCCACAACAAAGCGATGATCCTTTGCTGGATACTGAATCTGTACAATCTATCCTATTTCACATACACGTTACATATATTACCATGACTACACTGAAACGGGTTATTTTGATTTTCCATGCTGTTTAGGTGAGCTAAGGGCTGTATTAGAGTTCTTCCTTTTCAAAGCTTTGAAATAATTCTATTTTATTTCGGAAACAGATTTCACCTTGAGCGCTTCTATGACTTCTAGTGGATAAGCTAATCCAACCGGGCTAGTAGCTGTACGGAACTTCCTAAGGAAAATAATATAAAATATATGTTAAGCTTCTTTAAAAAGCAAAAGTTTTAAAAGCATCTCATCAAGTTAAACTACTATTAATTTTTAAATGATTTTCGAAAAGCCCACACATTTTTTTTATGTTGATGCAAGAAAAAATTGAGGGTTTAAAAATATAAATTAAGGATAGGGGAAAAACTGTTTTCTCATCCTTATTAGTCTTTAGGTACTGTTCCATTATCTGGGTGGAAGGCACTAGGGGGCGTTAGAGAGAAGGATAGTCCATTTTACTTTGGGGGGGTTGAAGGAGTAAAACAATTTTTCCCTGTTTCCCTGTTATTCCCCCCCCACACACACACACCACCACCACCTATGTCTCCATCGTGGAAACAACTATTATTTATGACATGGGAAGTAGACAGGGGGCATGAGCAGCAAAAACAGGGGAAATGTTTTTCCTCTTTCAACTCCCCCCTGTAAAATGGACTATCCTTCTCTCTCTAGCACCCCCTAGTGGCCTTTACCAGGCTGTGGTCCAGCTGGTTGGGAGTCAGCTACATTAAAATCACTACTGACTGAAAGGTCATGAGTTCAAAACCAGCCCAAGGTCAGAGGAAGCTCCCGACCATTTGTCTAACTTGCTGTCGAGCTTTGCAGCCCAAAAAACAGTTGCATCTGTCAAGTAGGAAATTAAGGTACCATTTTATGCGGGGAGGCCAATTTAACTAATTTATGACACTATAAAAATCTCCACCAGCATGCAAAAGAATGAGGAAGTACTCCATCAGTGTCACAAGTGGACGGTGAAGCGACAGCTCTCCCAGTGGCTGGAATTCGAGCATACCCTCATGAAGCTGGAATGTCAAATAGACTCTGTGTGTCTGTCTATATATGTTGTGTGTCTATAGCATTGAGCGTTTGCCATGTATATGTGCATTGTGATCCACCCTGAGTTTCCTGCAAGTTGAGAAGGGCAGAATATAAATACAGTAAATAAATAAATCTATATAAATAAAAATGTAATGTTCGTTTGTGGGATTAACAGAACTCAAAAACCACTGGACGAATTGACACCAAATTTGGACATAAGACACCTAACAACCTAATGTATGTCCTTCACTCAAAAAAATTGATTTTGTCATTTGGGAGTTGTAGTTGCTGGGATTTGTAGTTCACCTACAATCAAAGAGCATTCTGAACCCCACCAACAATAGATTGGGGCCAAACCTGGCACATAGTTCTCCCATGACCAACAGAAAATACTGGAAGGGTTTGGAGGGGAGTGTCCTTTGGTTTTGGAGTTGTAGTTCACCTACATCCAGAGATCCCTGTGGACTCAAACAATGATGGATCTGGACCAAACACGAATACTCAATATGCCCAAATGTGAACACTGGTGAACACTTGGTGAACCCCACCAATGATAGAATTGGGCCAAGCCTCTCACACAGAACCCCCATGTGGGCCAAAGCAATGCGTGGCAGGGGTCAGCTAGTAATAAATAAATAGCCAAATAATGGAACATTTGCTTTACCTTACTGTATCCAGAAACTTTTTCCTCCGTTATTCTCTTTTTAAAAAAACTATGCTGAGCAAATGTCATCTTATTAAATCAGCAAGTCCCTTCCAGTTTGAGCAGTGAAAGAAAACAGTAGCAACACTGGCTTGTGGAACCTGCATAATGTGGAATTGTCTTGCTTAGGCAGTGATAGTCCAGCTTAACCCTCTGTTGTCCCACTTTTCCAGAGGCTTTGAAAATATCCCAGTTCCTCTCTCTTCTTCATTTACTGCAAACAGAGGCTAAAGTGCAAAAGGAGTTTGCATTTAATTAATCCAGCTGGTGGGAGCAGAGAGGAGGACCCAAAATCTTTCCCTTTCCAGTAGACTCGAGCAAAAGCAAACCAGAGCAGCCTTTCATAACTTATGTGTTCTTCCTCATTACTATGCTTTCCCATCCTGACCACATTCTGATGTTACTTGGCCAGATTAAGCAACAGGATTTTCCAACTTGGTACTGTTCCATTATCCAGATGGACTCCAAAAGGGGGTCTACAACAGGGGTCCTCAAATTAAGGGTCCGAGGGCCAGATACGGCTCTCCAAGGTCATTTACCCGGCCCTCGCTCAGGGTCAATCTAAGTCTGAAGCGACTTGAAAGCACAACAACAACAATCCTATCTCATCAGCCAAAAGCAGGCCCACACTTTCCATTGAATTACTAATAAGTTTATATTTGTTTAAATTGTTCTTCATTTTAATTATTGTAATGTTTTTAAGTGTTTTTTGCACTACAAATAAGATATTTGCATTCCTGTTTTTTTCAAATTATAATCTGGCCCTCCAACAGTTTGAGAGACTGTGACCTGGCCCCCTGTTTAAAAAGTTTGAGGGCCCCTGGTCTAGACAGAGAAGGAGTGTACATTTTATTGAGGGGTGTGTGTGTTAAAGGTGTAAACCATTTTCTCCATTTTCACTTATTACTCCCCCTCCCATAAACAATGGGGGCGACATGGGTGGGGAGAATAACAGAAAAACTGAAGGAAATGGTTTAACTGCTTTAATCAGTTGAAACATTCACACCTAGCTCCAGCAGACAAGAGTCCTTTGTCTCACCCTGGTCATTCCACAGGTATATAAACCCTTTTGCCTAGTTCCAACAGACCCCACTACCTCTGAGGATGCTTGCCATAGATGCAGGTGAAACGTCAGGAGAGAATGCGTCTAGACAGGCATGTAGCCGGGGGGGGCGGTTTCGTTTCGGGCTTCAGCCCCCCCCCCGAAATTTCATGGTGGTTCGCGAAAAGGCCTTACTGGTGCATTATTTAAACTGTTATGTTTATTCATATCATGATCTGATCACCATGCTCAATATATCCCATATGCATGGGGTATTGGGGTAATAATACAAAAGGTTTGCTAGGGTAGACCCTCTTTCACTCAGACTCAGCCCCCCCCCCCCGAAACTCAGCCCCCCCGAAACCCCCCCTGAAAAAAATTCAGCCCCCCCCCCCCGAAACGGAATCCTGGCTACGGGCCTGCGTCTAGACCATGGCCATATAGCCTGAAAAAACCTACAACCTCCTTTAATCCCCTTTCCTCTGTAAAATGGACTATTCTTCTCTCTCTAGCACCCCCTTGTGGCCTTCGCCCAGATAATGGAACAGTACCTAAATTTTTTCTTCAGTCTTTCCTTATAAGGATCATTTATAAAATCATTGACTCTTGGAGGTGATTATGCACTTTAAAAAACCCAATTTTACTCGATCCAACTGTGAAATGTGAGCAGGTAAGTATTTGCTCTGCTTTGCAGAGTCTGGATAGAATTGGAGTCTTTTGAAGGGAATCTGTTAGCCACAATGGTTCTCAACCTGGGTTCCCCAGATGTTTTTGGCCTACAACTCCCAGCAATCCCAGCCAGTTTACCAGCTGTTAGGATTTCTGGGAGTTGAAGGCCAAAACATCCAGGGACCCACAGGTTGTTTAGCGGGTGCACTTTTTCAGTCAGGAAGTTATTTTTCAGGAAAGTTATTTATACCCTGCTTTATCTCCCCAAAGGGGACTCAAAGGCACCTTCCACACAGCTGAATAAGATCCCACATTTTCTGCTTTGAACTGCTTTGAACTGGAATATATGGCAGTGTGGACTCAGATGACCCAGTTCAAAGCAGATATTGTGGGAAGGCAAAGGCAGAGGAGGCCACAGGATCCATCACAATTTGACTCTGTTAATGCTTCTTAGCAGACAAATCAAGAGGAGATTGGTCCCATTGTCTCCCCTTCCCCCGTTTATGGTTTTAGATTGGACAAATATCTGTAGAGATTGGAAAGTGAAATAGATATATGTGAAGTTTCCCAACAGTTTGAGTTAAGATGATTTTTCAATCATCAGCTGCATATTTTGGCTTGCTGTCAGCTGCCTTGAGTCCCATGCTGGGGAGAAAGTAGAATAACAAACAAGACAAAATTAATTGTCTTAGGGTTAGCTTCGGCATTCATTGTCAAATCCAACCAGGCTTTGTGCTGAAATCTTACCTTTCTACAAAAACACCTGCCTGGACAGCATATGCAACAGTACGGACACTGGCTGCATCCTCAGCTTTTTGTGCCTCTTGTTTACTTGTAAAGGTAACAGTCAGCCATTCTTGTACGTCCACAGGCATTGAATCCCACTGGATGTTAGACATTTCATCTTCAGTATTCAAAAGGCTCCTGCAAATAATTATACTGAAATCATTTATATCCCACTTCCAAAGTAACTAACAAAATAAAAGGAAGTAGCCACTGATTTTTGACTGAGAAGAGTGGGTTTTTTTTTAGTTGGAACCTATGAATTTTAAATACCATAAACAGAAACATCTATACCAGTGGTTCTCAACCTGTCGGTCCCCAAGTGTTTTGGCCTACAACTTCCAGAAATCGCAGCCAGTTTATCATCTGGTAGGATTTCTGGGAGTTAAAGGCAAAACATTTGGGGACCCACAGGTTGAGAACCACTGATCTGTACATGATCTATGCAGTCAGGATCCATTGGTCTGTTTTCCTTGGATTCTACTGCTTCTAGCAGAATTGGACATTTCCAAATTGCTCCTGCAGCCTCACTATACACCCCGAAAACCCTCTGGGACCCAGCTGGAGGGAGTGAGGCAGAAAATCCTGATTTTACTGTGACCTGATAGAAAAATACAGCATTGGAATATATAATTTGTGCCCTTGTGGTATGAATCTGATGCATACTGAATATAATGCATTGTAATGGTTCAAACCCAGTTATCTTCATGATGTCCAAAGAAGACTGAGTTAAGATGAGGCTGGCAATACGATAAATTTTTGGACTCGGTAATCTATCTATCTATATAAATAACAATGTAATGTTCGTTTGTGGGATTAACAGAACTCAAAAACCACTGGACAAATTGACACCAAATTTGGGCACAAGACACCTAACAACCCAATCTATGTCCTTCACTCAAAAAATTGATTTTGTCATTTGGGAGTTGTAGTTGCTGAGGTTTATAGTTAATCTACAATCAAAGAGCATTCTGAACCCCACCAATGATGGAACTGAACCAAACTTGGCACACAGTTCTCCCATGACCAACAGAATGGTTTTGGTTTTGGAGCTGTAATTCACCTACATCCAGAAATCACTGTGGACTCAAACAATGATGGATCTGGACTAAACTCCACACGAATACTCAATATGCCCAAATGTGAACACTGGTGGAGTTTGGGGAAAATAGAATCTTGACATTTGGGAGTTGTAGTTGCTGGGATTTATAGTTCACCTACAATCACAGAGAATTCCGAACACCACCCACGATAGAATTGGGCCAAACCTTCCACACAGAACCCCCATGTGGGCCACAGCAAAACGTGGTAGGAGATGGCTAGTATATAATAAAACTTTATTTATATACCGCTCTATCTCCCCGAGGGGACTCAGAGCAGTTTCCAAGTAACACCATCAATACATACAGAGTAAACAACATAACCATAAGATTAACAAAACAATATAAGCATAATAAAAGTAAGATTGGTATCACATAATATACATATGTAAATGTGAGTTCAACCAGATTAATAAATTAATTGTAAATTTCCATTCCCACCCAGCTGGGTCTGAGTGAAAAGGCAGACAATTCTATACTCTCATGTAAAATCCAGATTATCTGCTTTTAACTGGATCCAATTCACAGCAGATAATATGATTATCTTCTTTAGTAATCTGAATTATATGGCAGTGCAGAAGAACCTTGACATAAGAACTCTACATGTACCATCACCAAAATACCCAAATACCTGGGAGTCACTCTGGACCGTGCCCTGACCTACAAGAAGCATTGCCTGAATATCAAGCAAAAAGTGGGTGCTAGAAACAATATCATACAAAAGCTGACTGGCACAACCTGGGGATCACAACCAGACACAGTGAAGACATCTTCCCTTGCGCTATGCTACTCTGCTGCTGAGTATGTATGCCCAGTGTGGAACACATCTCACCACACTAAAACAGTAGATGTGGCTCTTAATGAGACATGCCGCATTATCACGGGGTGTCTGCGCCCTACACCACTGGAGAAATTACACTGTTTAGCCAGTATTGCACCACCTGACATCACCTGGGAAGTAGCAGCCAATAGTGAAAAGACCAAGGCAGTGACATCTCCAGCCCATCCCTTGTTTGGGTATCAGCCATCACGTCAACGACTTAAATCAAGAAATAGTTTTCTAAGATCTACAGAGACAGTTGCTGGAACACCCCAGCAAGCGAGAGTCCAAAAGTGGCAGGCTCAAACCCAGAACCTCAATCACTGACTGATACCAAATGAGAGACTCCCCCTGGGCACACAGAAAACTGGGTGACTTGGAAGGCGCTGAACAGACTGCGCTCTGGCACCACGAGATGCAGAGCCAATCTTAAGAAATGGGGCTACAAAGTGGAATCCATGACATGCGAGTGTGGAGAAGAGCAAACCACTGACCACCTGCTGCAATGCAACCTGAGCCCTGCTACATGCACAATGGAGGACCTTCTTGGGGCAACACCAGAGGCACTCCAAGTGGCCAGCTACTGGTCAAAGGACATTTAATCAACTACCAAGCTTGCAAACTTTGTGTTTTGTCTGCCTGTTTGTTTGTTTTGTTAAAAATGTAATACAACTGTCTTGTTGCTCCTGACACGATAAATAAATAAATCACCAAAATGTGTGGCCTCTGCACAATATCCCGATAATCACTCCACACACGTAAAACAAGTCCCTGGACCTTATCACATGAGACTGTTTAAGAATGATTTCGAATGGGTCTCATCACATGACGTTTGCCCCATCCCGTCAGTCTCCGTCTGCAAAGTGTTGAAGAAGCAGATTATTTGCAGATGGAATTCTAATTGTGATTTTTGAAATACTACGGATTCTTCCATTGATGAAGCGCTGTTTTGTGTGTGATAGGAAAATCTGTCTGCATCTGTAGTGGATCATACCTTGTAGGCCGAAGCCTAAAAGACAGTAAGCCGGCCTCCATCTTGGTGAGGGAAATACAAGGAGAGTCTGTTCAGCAGAGGGGAGGAGTTTAGCTGCCCCAGGATTGGCTAGAAGAGATGGGAGGAGCTGAAGCTGTCAGTGTAAAAGGGAGGCAGGCAGCTTCTGACGAGGAGAGAAGTGATTTAACATCAGACAGAGAGGGAAGGAATTTTAAGGGTTTTAAGAGCAGAGAAGGGAATTGGATTTCAAGCTGAGGGAAGAGGGTAGTTTGAGAATGAGTGGAAGATTTCCTGAGGGAGAGTGGTGGAAAGGCAGGTGTGGCTATAGAGTGGCCTGGAGAGCCAACAGCCGCCTGTGAACTGGTGTGAGAGGAAAACACACTAGTTGTTGTACACTCTAAAGATCAGAGTATTCTAGTGGGATCTAGATACGCTGAGGGAAATTGCTCACGTCGAAAAACAGATACCCAGTTAAGAAGTTCAGCAAGCTTGTTAAGTCTTAGTAACTGTTTAAGAAGATTGTGCTGTGCTGACCATATATGCTTTCGTAATTCAAAGAAGAATCCAGTTGTTTGTTCTAAAATATTTAAATAAACTTTGTTCTAGTTCAACTTTACAAGAAGTCCTCACCGTGATTCATTTCATTAAGCCTGTTCCAGTAGAATTCTAACATCTTGTCGCCTCAGACACTTTGGGGGAAGTTAAAGAAAGGGCTGTGGCACACTAAGCTTTACCTCACACATAACATCAAGTTATATTCTCAAAAGCTATTTGAGTGGTGGCAGTAATACCTTAAGAAACACATAGAGCTTTGTGACAGGTGTCCAGTTGGAGCCTAAGAAGACAAAGTCCTCTACTCTGTTCCTTCAAATTGGTACTAACGGCCGATCGGTCCCTTAGTTCTTTATAGCATCCCATCAGCAATTATACTTTTTAAAATATCATAGAGTGATGTGGTGAATGTTTCCAATGGAATGGGAGAAGCCAACCTTCCGTGGTGTGATGAGTCCAAGCACAGTATTTCCAAACCATAAGAATCGTAATAATCAGGTGTCATGAGGAGAGTATGCATCCCATCTCAACACAGTATGCATATAGGCCTTTAAAAATATGGGCTGCATACTGATATGAAAATACCGTATCCCAATGTGATAAGGTCCCCTAATAGGATACCAGCCACCATTTCCCCATCAGATAGAGCACTACATCAATGAGGGTCACCAGAGGTGGCAGGATTCCCAATGATGGCTGGTGATTTTTCCCTGTCCTCTGATCTGAAGAAATTATGCTGTACTTACAACAGATTAACAGAAAGTTTCTTTTTGGTTCTTTGAGTAGAGGTTTTTGATTTGGCTGAACTGCTGCTTGTTCGGACACCAGTCTTCTCCCTTTTGTCCTGTGTCATAATTGCAGTGGACTTTTGCCTTACTGAACCTTACAGGAGTAAGTTACGACCTTCAAATATTGCAGTATGTCGCTACATTTAGATTTAAGCTGGCTAATGTTACCTACTGCTATGTGAATGTCATTCTTACAAATTACTTGTTGATACAGGCTGAGTGAGAAAAGGCAAGTCCTTCCTTGGGCATTATGATGTCATTCTGATGTAACTGCTAACTACTGTTGGGCTGCCTCTGCTTTTTTCTTGCTGGCTTCCCATACCTTCTGCAAAAATGGTGCCCCTCTCATGGCAAATCACTAGCAGCGATGGCATTAAAGGGCACCTGCTGAGTTACCTGGGCTATGTTTCCTCTTCTTCCTATTGCTGCATGTTCACCTGTCCTCTCTATGCAAGTAAAATCTGACAGCAGCAAGGAAAGATAATTATTTATTTACTAGCCGTCCCCTGCCACGTGTTGCTGTGGCCCACATGGGGGTTCTGTGTGGGAGGTTTGGCCCAATTCTATCGTTGGTTGGGTTCAGAATGCTCTTTGATTGTAGGTGAACTATAAATCCCAGCAACTACAACTCCCAAATGTCAAGATTCTATTTTCCCCAAACTCCACCAGTGTTCACATTTGGGCATATTGAGTATTTGTGTAGAGTTTGGTCCAGATCATTGTTTGAGTCCACAGTGATCTCTGGATGTAGGTGAACTACAACTCCAAAACCAAAGCACACTGTCCACCAAACCCTTCCAGTATTTTCTGTTGGTCATGGGAGAACTGTGTGCCAAGTTTGGTTCAATTCCATTGTTGGTGGGGTTCAGAATGCTTTTTGATTATAGGTGAACTATAAATCCCAGCAACTACAACTCCCAAATGACAAAATCAATTTTTTTTGAGTGAAGGACATACATTGGGTTGTTAGGTGTCTTGTGTCCAAATTTGGTGTCAATTCGTCCAGTGGTTTTTGAGTTCTGTTAATCCCACAAATGAACATTACATTTTTATTTATATAGATAAATATAAATAAAGCGGGATATAAATAAAGTTTTATTATTATATTATTTATATGCCGCCCTTCTCACCCTGAAGGGGACTCAGAGCGGCTTATAAGGTATATAATTACATACAATACAATCTATATATATATATAAATGCTCTGTGCATAATGAGTACCTTAAAAAGAAAAGAACCAATGAATGCAATCACGCCAAATTTGGCAACAAAACATCTCACAAAGCAAGGAGTGTCCTTCACTCAAAAAAATTGATGTGAAAGATCTACTGGAACCTTTATACATATGTGGTGGGGTGCAAGAAGGTGAAATCCTTCTGGCGCGCAATTCATAAAGAAACAGAAAAAAATTTAAAAAAGAAATTCACTCTTAAACCTGAATATTTTTTACTAGGCATTACCGATTTTGAGATGGATAGTAATGAAAATAAAATCTTTTTTCCCCTTTCGACAGCTGCCAGAATCCAGCTGGCAAGCCTCTGGAAATCCAGAGAGATCCCTTCAATAGAACAATGGACGTTAAAAGTGTATGATGTCATGAATATGGACCTATTGACAGAGAGACTAACAGCTAATAGTGATAAGAGGAAAAGCACAGAGTGGAGTAACTTTATAGACTATTTAGAGAAGAAGAATTAAGATTTAACGAAGTTGTAATGTACCTCGACTAATGCTATGTTAAACAAAAACGTTGTATAATAGAAGTAACACCTCTCTGTTCTACCTGGAAGTACTGTAGTTTTAAAGTCTTTCCCCTTCCCCCCCCTTCCCACGACGTGTCCCCCCCCACTTCCCCCTCCCCCACCACACCTCGATGAGTCGGTACACTCCCCCCCTATGTTGCCCAATGCCCACCCTACCCCTCGCTACCCTCCCCCCCTTCTCCAAAGTCCTTTTTTTTAACTACGTTTGTATGCAAAAACTTTCTAATAAAGATATTCTAAAAAAAAAATTGATTTTGTCATTCGGAGTTGTAGATGCTGGGATTTATAGTTCACCTACAATCAAAGAGCATTCTGAACTCCATCAACGATGGAATTGAACCAAACTTGGCACTTGGAACTCCCATGACCAACAGAAAGTATTGGAAGGGTTTGGTGGGCATTGATCTTGAGTTTGGGAGTTGCAGTTCACCTACATCCAGAGAGCACTGTGGACTCAAATAATGATGGATCTAGATCAGAGGCGGCCCTACGTAATTTTCAATGGTAAGCAAACAGTATTTTGGCACCCCCCACCCCACCCCACCAATCACTGATATATATTTTCTGTTCGTCGTGGGAGTTCTGTGTGCCATATTTGGTTCAGTTCCATCATTGGTGGAGTTCAGAATGCTCTTTGACTGTGGGTGAACTATAAATCCCAGTAACAACAACTCACATATGTCAAGATCTATTTTCCCCCAAGAGCGCCTCAAGAGCGCCCCTGGGCAAAATCAACTATACTGCAAATGCTTCCTTTGCGTAATGGGTTGAGCCGCCCCTGGGAATGACCAGCAAAAACAGGGAAATGGTTTTCCTCCTTCAACTCCTTCCTACTCATAAATTGGACAACCCTTCTCTCTCGCTCTTGTGCCTCTGCCTGGATAATGGAACAGTAGAGATTCTTTTGTGACCTCAGCAAATAGCAAAGATATATAATAAAAATTGTTTTTTTTAAAAAAAAACACACACACATGTACATTACTTTTTTAATGACCTTAATTTAAAATAGCTATAATGGAGTCTGTAAATCCAATAGTTGGCCTTGTGTGGTTTTATTTTGAAATCCGTTTTAAATTTGATTTTTAAGAATTTCCGTGGAAACTTTACAATGCTTTTGCAGAACCATGGAACACAGTTTGGGAACCAGTGTGCTACAGAGGTGTTCTTTCAGGGGGGGGGAAGTTCGTAGATTTTCAGTTTCATGAGGGTTTTGTGACCCCTACGTTCTGTGTGACTATGTAATTTTAGTTGATATTATTGTTTAATTGTTATATAATGGATTTTATATTGCTGTTTTATATTGTTGTTTTGATACTGTTGGCATTGAATTGTTGCCTGTGTTAGCCGCCCTGAGTCCCCCCCCCCCCTTGGGGGTGAGAAGAGCGGGGTAGAAATGGTCTAAATAAATAAATAAATAAATAAATTTGGCAAATGTGAAGCGCTGGTTATAGACATGACTTGGAAAAAGGAGGTATCTTAAGGAATATTTTATTATCAGTAAATAGAAGGAAGGCTCAAACATCAGATAACCAATGATTTATTATTCAAGAATACCACCCCTGGGATTGTGTACAAAGTCCAGCATATTTACCGTGGTGTCCTCAGACATCGAGAGTGAAGTCTTTTCAAAATGCCTTCCTTTCAATTCCTGCATCTGGCAGCTTTCGTAGCTATCTCTTCTGCTTTTGTGGTATGATCATTTTATGCATAATTTCTGACAATATTAAGGCTGAGATTTTATCTTCCTTCATGTTCTTAATGTCTCCTATTGCTATTGCAGATCAGGGAGAGAGACAATTATGAAGGTAAACCCGTTAAAAAGCAATGCAGTGGTTATCCATTCTTAAGGTGGGAGATAACATACTTAAGTAACTATTCTTTGTAAAAGAATGACTTGCATTAACCACATTGTTTTTCTGTTTAACAGCATATTCCTTAGACGAAGGAAAACCTAGACAAGGCATCCCAGAGATCAATAAAGGTACAGATGTTAATGGATAAAAAGTAACATATTCATTTAAGTGCATAAATCAGCTTTTTAAGGCATAGGGTAGATTTTTGCATTTTCTATAGGATTCCAGCATAATTCTTATGCACAGTGATTTGAAGCTAAGTTGCCCTTTTTGTTGTAGCAGTCTCAAATAGATAGCACTATTCCATTATCCAGGCGGAGGCTACAAGGGGATGTAGAGAGAGAAGGATAGTCCATTTTACAGGTGGGTTGAAGGAGTAAAACCATTTTCCCCTGTTTTCCTGTAATCTTTCCGCATGCACACACCCATGTCATGGAAACAGCCCTCATTTATAAATGGGAATGGGGAAATAACTAGTGAAAATGGGGGGAATTGTTTTCTTCCTTCAACTCACCTTCCACCCCCATAAAATGGACTGTCCTTCTTTCTCTAGCGTCATCTTGTGGCCTCCACCCAGATAATGGAACAGCACCTATAGTAGATAATTAGATTTTATTTTCCTGAAATTACTATTACTGCCAGGGAGGGTAGGGAGTACATGGGAAATTGGAGAAGGAGTTCAGTTACCCATGATGCTTTGGATCTGGTAATAATGTGTCTTAGGCCCCTTCCACACAACAGAATAAAATCTCACAATATCTGCTTTGAACTGGGATTTATGGCAGTGTGGACTCAGATATTCCAGTTCAAAGCAGATATTCTGCCTTGATATTCTGGGCTATATGGCTGTGTGGAAGGGCCCTTAGACCAGTGTTTCTCAACCTGGGGGTCGGGACCCCTGTAGGGGTCGAGAGGGGTGTCAGAGGGGTCTCCAAAGACCATCAGAAAACGTAATATTTTCTGTTGGTCATGCGGGTTGTGTGGGATATTTGGTCCAATTCTATTGTTGGTGGGGTTCAGAATGTTATTTCGTTGTGGGTGAACTATAAATCCCAGCAACTACAATTCCCAAATGCCAAAGTCTATTTTCCCCAAACACTATCAGTGTTCAAATTTGGGCATATTGAGTATTCATGCCAAGTTTGGTCCAGATCAATCATAGTTTGAGTCCATAGTGCTCTCTGGATGTAGGTGAACTACAACTCCAAAAATTCAAGGTCAGTGTCCACCAGACCCTCCCAGTATTTTTTCTTGGTCATGGGACTTCTGTGTGCCAAATTTGGTTCAATTCAATCATTGGTGGAGTTCAGAATGCTCTTTGATTGTAGGTGAACTAAAAATCCCATCAACTACAACTCCCAAATGACAAAATCAATCTCCCCCAAACCCAACAAGTATTCAAATTTGGGCATATCAGTTATTTGGGATTTGAAAATACATTCTGCATATCAGATATTTACATTATGATTCATAACAGTAGCAAAATTATAGTCATGAAGTGGGAATGAAAATAATTTTATGGTTGGGGGGTCACCACAACATGAGGAACTGTACTAAGGGGTCTCAGCATTAGGAAGGTTGAGAACCACTGCCTTAGACCATTGCATTTTTTTTTTTTACCAAATCAAGTGCTGGATTCAGGATTTGCCTTTCCCTAATGAAAACTACTCCCACCTAATTTTCAAATTTCTCTTCCCTCCACTGTACTCCAGCAAGTAGCTTCCCCTGTCTCTTTGGGCAACTATCAGTGGTAAAATGTAGCTGTCTCAGTTGCAGAGACCTAAATCTGAATCCAACATGTATGATGTAAGAACAGTGATGAGATGACCAAACATTTCAAATCTCTGTGTAAAGAACCAAATGCTTAACCTTGGTTTAGTAAACAAAAACAATTGATGTTTTAATACATTGCTCGCTTTTTTCCTCCCCCCTTTGCAGCATCTGTTAGGAAGTTCTTTGAAGGTGACATTGTTGTGCCGGTATGATTTTTAAAAATCTAATTTGGGAGCCGGGGGGGGGGGGGGGGGGTTTGATTGTAAAGAATGGTATAAAGCTCTATTTCTTATTTTTCTTCCAGTTGGAGAAAAACGCACTTAGAAACAGCTCCTACAGATGGAAACTTCCAGTTCCTTATATAATGGGTGACAGCTTAGGTAAAACGTTCTCTTACATTCTGGGGTTGATTAATTCAGGATTTTACATTATGTGGCATGATGGTACAGCAGAGTCTCGCTTATCCAACCTTCGCTCATCCAACATGCTATATTATCCAACGAAGTCTGCCTCCTACCCGGATTCACAACTGTTTCAATACATTGCAATGTTTTGATGCCAAATTCGTAAATACAGTAATTACTGCATAACGTTACCGTGTATTTAACTGCTTTTTTGGTATTACTACTACTACTACTACTACTAATAATAATAATAATAATAATAATAATAATAATAAAACTTTATTTATTCGTAAATACAGTAATTACTACATAACGTTACCGTGTATTTAACTGCTTTTTCTGTTGTTTTGGTACTACTACTACTACTACTAATAATAATAATAATAATAAAAATTTATTTATTCGTAAATACAGTAATTACTACATAACATTACTGTTTATTTATCTGCTTTTTCTGTTGTTTTGGTACTACTACTACTACTAATAATAATAATACTTTATTTATATACCGCTCCATCTCCCCGAGGGGACTCAGAGCGGTTCCCAGGTAACATCACAAAACATACAAAGTAAAAAACAACATAACCATAAGATTAACAAAACAAAATATAAGCATAAAAATTGTCACCATAACCCACATATATTAAACGTAATCCTGCCTGTTCAAGGCAATTTAAAAGGCTGGGCCAAGATTTGTACAAGCCCAAAAATTCTAGGGGGCCTGGGAATTAAGTGCAATGCTATGGCAGGCAACAATAATATTAGGTACGGGTCTGTGGCTGTTCATTCTGGGGCCGATTAGATTAAATGAACTGGGTAATTGGTAGGAAGAATAAGGCCGTATTCAACAATGTGTAGGGCTGAGTTAGAACTGGCCATTTTCAAAGGCTTGTTGGAACCACCTGATCTTCAAGCTCTTACGAAAGGAGGGGAGGAATGGGGCCTGTCTTATTTCCCTTGGAAGGGCATTCCAGAGGTGGAGGGCCACCACTGAGAAGGCCCCCTCTCTCATCCCTACCAACTGCGCTTGAGACAATGGTGGGACTAAGAGGAGGGCCTCCCCGGAAGATCTTAGAGCTCGCGCAGGTTCATAGAGGGAGATACGATCGCAGAGATTGGCGGGGCCCGAGCCTTAATTTGTAAAATCATAACATTATTTGATGTTTAATAAGCTTTTCCTTAATTCCTCCTTATTATCCAACATTTTTGCTTATCCAACGTTCTGCCAGCCCGTTTGTGTTGGATAAACAAGACTCTACTGTATGTAGTATGGATTGCTGGAATTCCTTCACGTTTTCTGCAGTCCCTGAAAGAGCCAACCCAGTGCTTTGGAAGGGCTGTTTCTCACACTGGAATGTTCATGGTGATGTTAAAATAAGGAAGTTTGCATGAGCTCTGCAAATTCTTTGTTCAATTTTAAGTAATTACCCCTCTTCCATTGCAGCTCATCCTTCTTCCTATCCATTTCTTTCCCCTCACCTCTCTACCATTTATAGAAAGGACTGGGAGGGAGGGAAATAAGATGATGTCCTCCTTTAAAAAAAAATAGAGGATTTCAAACAGAAGACAGTCCCATGGACTTACTTCCAGGCAAAAAGATGTATAATTGCAGCCTTAGTAATACTAATAGTGCTTTATGAATCCTCAGTACTGGAGATGAATAAAATCATAATTTGATCTTAAATTCTTTTAGCAACAAAATTCAAGGTATTGATCCATTATCTGGGCAGAGGCCGTTAGAGAGAGAGAATGATAGTCCATTTTACGGGGCAAGGAGTATGTGAAAGAGTAAAACAATTTCCCCCTATTTTCCTGTTTTCCCTCCACCCATGTCCCCGTCGTGGAAACAACCCTTGTTTATATGAGAAGTTGGAAGGGGGGCTAACCAGAAAAAACGGGGAAAATGGTTTTTCTCCTTCAACCCCCCCCCCCCCATAAAATGGACTCTCCTTCCCTCTCTAGTGTCCCCTTTTGTCCTCAGCCTGGATAATGGAACAGTACCAAATTCAGACACTTAAAATGAAACTCAACACTAATAATTGAAAGATGTAACTTCAGTATGTACTGATTTAAAGGCGATATCGAACAGTCTAAGGGTGCATCCACACCACATAATTAATGCGGTTTGTCACTATTTTAACTATCATGGCTCATAGTAGTACCATGGAATCCTGGTTGTTTTACAAGGGCTTCAGCTTTCTCTGTCAAATAATGTGGGTGCTTCACCAAACTACAGCTCCCAGGATGGTATAGCATTGAGCTATGGAGTTAAAGTAGTATCCAATTGCATTCATTCTACAGTTCATATGCATCCTGAGAGGATTCTCCCTCTCCCCATCCCTGCTGTAATAAACGAATGGCTCAGGCCTAAGTGAACAAAATATTTAATTGTGGTAGAGATTAGATGGGTTCATAACATTTATGACATCGGGCAAAAGGCACCATACCAGGATAGTTCAGAGCTATCATATTGCCTTATCAGATTGTTTGTGTTCTCTGGTTCTCTCCAGCTAATAATGTTCCAAACCTAGCAATCAGGAACGTGGTAACCATGAATGGGCGAAACATGATTGACGCAACATGTTTTGCTCAGAGGCCCTACATTAGGTTGATGAGGAAAATCATAGAAGATTGGAATGCTGACTGTAAGGCATTAGATATGAAGGAACCGTTCCATTATTTGGTGGAGGCCACAAGAGGGCAATAGAGAGAGAAGGGTAGTCCCTCATCCATGTCCCCATCATGGAAACAAGCTTCGTTTATGATATAGGAAGAGAATAGCCAGCAAAAATGGGGAAATGGTTTTCCTCCTTCAGCTCCCCCCCCCTCCAACTAAATGGACTATCCTTCTCGCTTTAGCACCCTCTTGTGGCTTCTGCCCAGATAATGGAATAATACTGATACAATTTCATGGGAGGAGGATACTTCTCCTCCTTCCCCCTCTCATCCTTCTCCCCAACTAGTAGTGCTGTTTCATGAGACAGTTTCCAGCTTAGTGGGGATATAGGGTTTTCATGCCTCTCACTACTGGGAAAGTCGGGATCCGCAGATTGGGGACTGAAACAGCCTCACTTCCAGATAGCAGATAAACTATTATTATTATTATTATTATTATTATTATTATTATTATTATTATTATTATTTTACTGATACAAAAACACAGTATGTCACAGCAAACGAGATCCATATTCTGGATTTCGTATCAGAAACACAACAAGATGAGTCCACAGCAGACAATCTGCTGGCTGTTGTATTGGATCACACGTCGAACACTTCCCAAGTGTCTAGGACTGTGTGATGTATTGGCGAATAATGTGTGCAGATCCCAGTAAGGTGGCCTTCTGCAGCTGGCAGATGCTAATTTTGTCAGCGCCGATTGTGTTTAAGTGCAGGCCAAGGTCTTTAGGTACTGCTCCCAGTGTGCCGGTCACCACTGGGACCACCTTTACTGGCTTGTGCCAGTAAATTATTATTATTATTATTATTATTATTATTATTATTATTATTATTATTATTAGATACATAACAAGATTACTGCACAGCAAACAAGACCACTATGCTGGCTTTTGTATTCAATCACATGTTGGACAACATGGTTTTCATAGGAAATTAGATAGTCAAATATGGGGGAAGGGAGGTGAATAAAATCATATTAGAAATGAACACAGTATTATTTCTATAGTTTGTATAGCAATGATTTATTACAAAGGTAACTGCTGGATTTTTTTAAAGCAGCTATCAAATTGGGTGGAAATTCCTTTGGTCACAGAATCTACCGGTATTCATAAATAATATCCTCGCTCTGTGTTTTAGCACTTTCCAAAGCAGGGGTCCTCAAACTATGGCCAGCACCTTGGATAGCTCCTCTAAAGGTCAGACAAAGGGCCCTTCCAGACAGGCCCTATATCCCAAGGTCTAATCCCAGGTTTTCTGTTTATCCCAGATTATCTGGCAGTGGGGACTCACATAATCCAGTTTGAAGCAGAAAACTTGAGATCAGATTCTGGGGTATAGGGCCTGTCTGGGAGTGCCCTGAAACCTGGATATATACTATTCCACTAACTTGGGATCCCTCTGCCTCCTCTGGATATTCACTTATTTACTTTAACAGTTCAAAAATAATGATATATTGTTTCCTGTTTCAGATCTGAATACCAGAGGTGTTATCCTGCAGGCATTTGAGATGTTCCGACTCAAATCTTGCATTGACTTCAAACCCTACGAAGGGGAAAAATCCTATCTCCAGTTTGAAAAATTGGATGGGTAAATTGAGTGACCATATGTGATCAGAGTGTTTTTGCTGTAAAAGTAACACAGTCATATATTTTTAAATTGTTTAGCATGTCTTTCCTTTAACTTTATTGTTTCCTATTATAATAGCATTTTAATTGAACACTCTTTCAGTAACGTTTCCAGTTTGTAAATCTAATTTGGGATGTTGCATGCGATTGAGTCATTTGGTTTTCATAATCAATTTTATCTATTTGCATTCTATTCCAAAATTCAAGAGAGGTTTCCCATGATTGTAATACATAGAATTATAGAATAATAGAGTCAAAAGAGTTAGAAGAGACCTCGTGGGCCATCCAGTCCAACTCCCTGCCAAGAAGCAGGAAAATCGCATTCAAACATAAGGAAGAACTTCCTGACTGTGAGAGCCGTTCAGCAGTGGAACTCTCTGCCCAGAGTGTGGCGGAGGCTCCTTCTTTGGAGGTTTTTAAACAGAGGCTAGATGGCCATCTGTCAGGAGTGCTTTGAATGCAATATTCCTTCTTCTTAACAGGGAGTTGGACTGGATGGCCCATGAGGTCTCTTCCAACTCTATGATTCTACTCTATGATTCTAAACCACTCCGGACAGATGGCCATCCAGCCTCTGTTTAAAAGCCTCCACCACACTCTGAGGCAGAGAGTTCCACTGCTGAACAGCTCTCACCATCAGAAAGTTCTTCCTAATGTTGGAATCTCCTTTCCTGTAGTACATAATGAACTCTACAGTCCTATACATGGCTGCTGAGAAGGGGATCAATTGAATACATTCCCCTGGGTTAAGTGGGTCCTGAATAGACTCAGAAGCGGAGTGGGCAGATCAAAAGACAACCTGGCAAAATGGCACTACCTAAAAGAATCCCATACCTTGTGTGACTGTAGAGCAGAACAGACAACTCCGCAGCTGTATGCTTGTCCCCTATGCCCTGCCTCATGTACAGAGGAGGAATTGTTGGAGGCTACAGGCAATGCCGTTGCTGTTGCCCGTTTTTGGTTAAAAAAAAAATAGCCACCTATGCGCCTTGTATTTTTATTATGTTTATACTAATTTATGCAATGCTTTTGATACAAAATAAAAATAAAGTGGGTCCTAGAAAAAATGTTTCTGTAAAGTAAAGCCTCCATGTTCCACTTTATGTACTTTATGTACATGGTTGAACCACTTTCCACAACCCTTCAGTACGGCAATTGGAGCATTCTAAGCCAAACAATGTGCTGTGCACAGGCAGGAGAACTGGTGGCCCTTTTTTCCATTAAGGGAGAGTGATTGTTTTTACTACGACGTGGTTTTGCCCCTCAACGTAAATGGATGCATATTGCATGTTCTTGTCTCACAGATGCTGGTCTTTCGTGGGAGATTTTCAGACTGGCCAGAATGTTTCTATAGGACCGCGCTGTGAATACAAGGATACTGTTGAACATGAGGTTCTACATGCTCTTGGGTTTTATCATGAACAGTCACGCAGTGACCGAGATGATTATGTTAACATTTGGTGGGGTGAAATTATTGAAGGTAAATGTACTCATCCTTTCGGATCATTTGTGGGTCATATCGAAATCTTTTATTTCAGCTAGATTTTTATGTTCTGTCTGAAAAAAAACCTTCTACTTTCACAGAGATCATATAAAATTTAGTACTAACAGTTGTCAGTAAATTCTTGGAAATCACATGGTCAGAAATTAACAATCATACCCAATCAGTGATATATCAGTAATAGAAAAAGTGGCTTATTGTGCTAGGGGATTTCAATGTCCATGTCGAGGCTACCCTATCAGGAGCGGCTCAGGACTTCATGTCTGCCATGGCAACCATGGGGCTGTCCCAACGGGTATCTGGCCCTACTCACAGTGCGGGACACACATTAGACTTGGTTTTCTGTCAGGGATGGGAGGACGGCGGTGTTGTTGAGGAATTGACCATCACTCCGTTGCCATGGACCGACCACCACTTGGTCGGGTTTAGACTTACTGCACCCCCTAACCTCCGCAGGGGTGGAAGACCCATTAAGTTGGCCTGCCCCAGGAGGCTTATGGATCCAGATGGATTCCTGACAGCTCTTGGGGTGTTTCCTGCTACCTCGGTAGGTTATCCTGGTCACTCTCTGGAATGGGCAGATGACTAGGGCAATAGATATGATTGCTCCAGAACGTCCCCTCTCAAGTAGCCGAGCTAAACCAGCTCCTTGGTGCAATGAGGAGCTGGCAGCGATGAAGTGAAGGAAGAGGGAACTAGAGAGTGTGTGGCGTTTGGATCCGAGCGAGCCAAATCGAACACAGCTTATGGCCTTTTTAAGGGCATATGCCATGGCAATAAAGGCCAAAAGAAATCTTTCTTTGCGGCCAATATTGCGTCTGCAAAGAACTGTCCGGCAGAGCTGTTTCGAGTTGTCAGAGGCCTTTTAAATCCCACCACCCAGGATGAAAGCCCTGAAAACTCGGCAGCCCACTGTGAAGCTTTTGCTTGGTTCTTTGCAGACAAAGTCGCTTTGATCTGTTCTGGTCTGGACACCATGTTAACGGCAGTCTCTAAGGATGTAACACGAGCACCTGCTTGTCTAATTTTGATGGATTCATTTCAATTGGTGAAACCCAAGGATGCGGACAAGATACTTGGAGGAATGAGGCCAACCACATGCATCCTAGACCCCTGCCCATTCTGGCTTTTAAAGGAGGCTAGAGGGGGAGTGGCCAAGTGGGTGAAGATGGTGGTTAATGCCTCCCTTCGGGAAGGCAGTATTCCAGCGAGCTTAAAACAAGCTATAATAAAACCACTATTGAAAAAAACATCACTAGACCCCACTCAATTCGACAACTATCGGCCAGTTTCCAGTCTCCCCTTTTTGGGCAAAGTCCTGGAACATGTGGTGGCTTCAGGTATTCTTGGACAACACGGATTATCTGGATCCGGTGCAGTCTGGCTTTAGTCCGCGGTATGGAACTGAGACAGTCTTGGTCACCTTAGTTGATTATCTATGCCGGGAACTAGACAGGGGGAGAGTGTCCCAGTTGGTTGTGCTGGACCTCTCAGCGGCCTTCGATACCATCGACCACAGTATCCTTCTGGGATAGCTTTCAGGAATGGGCCTTGGAGATACTGTTTTACAGTACTGTACAAGACCCTACTGTCTTGTAGGGTTCCTCAGGGTTCAATACTGTCTCCCATGTTGTTTAACATCTACATGAAGCCGGAGTTTCGGGGTGCAATATCATCTGTACGCAGATGATGTCCAACTCTGTCATTCCTTCCCACCTGCTACTAAGGAGGCTGTTCAGGTCCTGAACCAGTGCTTGGCTGCTGTGATGGTCTGGATGAGGATGAACAAATTGAAATTGAATCCAGACAAGACAGAGGTACTCCTGGTCAGTCGTAAGGCCAAACAGGGCATAGGGTTACAGCCTGTGTTGGATGGGGTTACACTTCCCCTGAAGATGCAGGTTCGCAGCTTGGGTGTGATCCTGCACTCATCGCTGAGCCTAGAACCTCAGGTTTCGACAGTGACCAGGGGAGCATTTGCACAGTTAAAGCTTGTGTGCCAGCTGCGCCCGTACCTTGGGAAGACTGACTTGGCCATGGTAGTCCATGCTCTGGTTACATCCCATATAGACTACTGCAACGCTCTCTACGTGGAGTTGCCTTTGAAGACTGTCTGGAAGCTTCAAATGGTCCAATGGTCAGTAGCCAGGTTACTAACAGGAGCAGCGCTCAGAGACCATACAACTGCTCTGTTGCGCCAGCTCCACTGGCTGCCGATTTGCTACCGGGCACAATTCAAAGTGCTGGCTTTAGCCTATAAAGCCCTAAATGGTTCTGGCCCAACTTGCCTGTCCGAACGCGTCTCCTCCTATGAACCGACTAGGGTGTTAAGATCATCTGGGGAAGCCCTGCTCTCAGTCCCACCTACGTCACAAGTACATTTGGCGGGGACGAGAGACAGGGCCTTCTCAGTGGTGGCCCCTTGGCTGTGGAATGCCCTTCCTACAGATATTAGGCCAGCCCCCTCCCTGTTGACATTTCAGAGGAAAGTGAAGACCTGATTGTTCGAGCAGGCATTTGAATAGGTAGTGTAATGAACATAGGAATATGGAACAATATATTGACTGTATGCTACTGTTTTAAGATTTATCTTCAAGATTTGTCTTCGAATCCACTATCAAGGAACTGAATGTGCAGTTGTCTTCAAACTTTCCTAACAGCGTGGCAATAATTTCTTCCTAGGTCAGGAGCACAACTTCAACAAATACGATGATGATTTTATTTCTGACTTAAACACACCATATGATTATGAATCTGTCATGCATTATGGGCCATATTCATTCAACAGAAATAGTAGCATCCCTTCAATTACAACTAAAATTCCAGAATTCAATGATGTGATTGGGCAAAGCCAGGATTTGAGCAGGGTAGACCTACAAAGACTGAACCGCATGTACAATTGTGGTAAGTTGATATCTTTTTTTGTGTATTTAGATTGTCTTTGGGAATGTTTATTTTTTTACTCTATTAAATTGGAAAGAGACAATGAAGTCATTTCTGTTCTGTTTCACTTCAGTGGCACGTGGAATTCTGTAGGGGCTTGCTTTAAGTGCAGAAATATGGCCAATTTTCACAATGGGGAATAATTGCCACAAAGCAAACTTTCCCCCCCTTTAACATGTATATGTAATTTCTGGCATATCCTACAGCTTCTAGCCTCACGCTACTTGACCAGTGTTCCTTTGAATCGATTAATATCTGTGGCATGATCCAGAATGGAAAGGATGATGCAGATTGGCAGCATACTGCAATCTCAAATAGTGGCAACAACTTTGTGGACCACTGTGCAGGTAGAGTATGAGAGAATGTTTTCTCGGGATGTATATTTCCTGTTGGTGGCAAAAATGGGACAGGGGACAGAGTCCTTTTGTGTCTGTGTTGCTTTCCCTGGAGTTGTGCGGTTGTGTCCTTGTTTATCAGGTTGACTGAGTTGAAACAACTGGAGCAAACAAGAGCTGCTTCTTTATGGTCACATAATATTTGTGCTATTCTTAGAAGTACAACTCCAATGCTGTGTAAGTTTGTCAGACAGAAGGAAAGTTCTCCACGCCACACAGTATTGCAACTGAATCCTAACATTCATCTATTTGAGGAACTGTAGAAGGCAATAGGCCTTCCCATCTATTCTCCATGCCATCCTTGTTTTTTCTTCCCTTACTCAAATGTTTCAACAAGCTGCTGAGAGGAGGGAAAATGGAAATAGAGCAAAGAATCAAGTGGTTTTGAGAAGTAGGGCATATTGTCAACAAATACTCGTAACTTTCCCCTCTCCAAACCCCTCTGTCTTTCTCCCTTTTCCCATAACTGATCCCAGTCAGCAGTCTTGGCAGCTGAACTTTAGGAACAGCTTCCAAAGACAGACCCACACAGAGTGATCCAAACTACAACATGTTTTGCTGATGATGCAATTGATGCAATTGTTAGACTTGCAAATGTACTACTTCTGTTGTTCATTCGTTCAGTCGCTTCCAACTCTTCATGACCTCATGGACCAGCCCACGCCAGAGCTCCCTGTCGGCCGTCACCACCCCCAGCTCCTTCAAGGTCAATCCAGTCACTTCAAGGATACCATCCATCCATCTTGCCCTTGGTTGGCCCCTCTTCCTTTTTCCTTCCATTTTCCCCAGCATCATTGTCTTCTCTAAGCTTTCCTTTCTTCTCATGATGTGGCCAAAGTACTTCAACTTTGTCTCTACTATCCTTCCCTCCAATGAGCAGTCAGGCTTTATTTCCTGAAGTATGGACTGGTTGGATCTTCTCGCGGTCCAAGGCACTCTCAGAACTTTCCTCCAACACCACAGTTCAAAAGCATCTATCTTCCTTCGCTCAGCCTTCCCTATGGTCCAGCTCTCACATCCATAGGTGACTACGGGGAATACCATTGCTTTTACTATGTGGATCTTCGTTGCCAGTGTGATTCTGACATTTGTCTCAGTCATATGTGCAGTCTGTTGCTATCAGGAGATAGGACAACAACATCTGCTTCTTTCTGCTTTGTAGAGATGGGATATTTTATGCGTCTGGACACTACAGCGGGACAGTCAGGCGAATCAGCCGTTTTGGAATCCCGGATCCTTTACCCAAGAAGGAATGAAAAATGTCTACAGTTTTTTTACAAATTTGATGGAAGTCTACAAGATAAACTCATTATTTGGATTAAAAGTGATGATGGAACTGGAAATGTTCGGAAGACAGCTAAACTACAAACCATCTCTGGTAAGCCTTGAACTTTCATATTTTATTTACAACAAGGTTAATAATTAAATTTCCAACAGCACCAGTTAGATATGGATTTTTCTTATCCAGAATATACCATATTTCATCACATAATAGTTGCCACCGCATATAAGCCACACTCCCATTTTTGGGGTGCCATTATCTAATCTTGACATTTCTCACATAATAGGCGCACCCACACAGCTTCCCCTTAGAGCAGTAAGCCCTGTATCTGCAAAGGGGAGAGAGAGGCAGGTAGGTAAAATGCATTTTTTCATTGCATAATGGTCGCCACTTCATAGTAGTTGCATCGTGACTATTATGTGGTGAAATAGGTAAATGGTTTGTGTAATAAAGTCTGGAATATATTTTAATGATGTAATATTATAGGAACAAAACAAAAGCATCCAGATATGATGAATGGCAGTTCAAATCAGATAATCTAGGTTTTATATGTCAGTGTAGATGGGGCCTAAGGCTGGATCTAGACTGTCCTATGTCCCAGGATCTGATCCCAGATTATCTGGCAGCTGGCGATTGGCTGACTCCTCATGTGAGCAAAACCTGACTGCCTCGTGCGCAATGCCCTATAAGGTTTGCCGGAACTCGTGCAAAGCGAAGACAGGAACCCATGTGTTGGCAGCAGAGCGTGGTGTGCCAGCGCCCCCTATGGCAACAACAGCATTCCTTCAGCCAGAGATCTTGCACCGAGCAAGGGGTTGGATTCAACAGTCCATGAGATGCCTTCCAACTCAGTGTTAGCCATTTCCTATTGAGAAGCCTAATAAGATGCACCAATTACTACAAAGGGTGTTGATGTTGTAGCAAAAATTCTCAGATCTTCTTTCTTTACAGCTGATGGAGAGCGAAACTGGAATTTAGCCACCATTCCTTTCAGGAGCAGGACTAAATTCCGATATGTTTTCCATGGCATCAAAGGAAATCCATCCAGCTCTACTGGCGGTGTTAATATCGATGAGGTCAGCTTGACAGAAACACAATGTCCCACCGGCATCTGGCAGATAAGAAACATTACTTCCCTTTTAAATAGAACCTCAAAAGGAGACAACATTTCAAGTCCTCTGTTCTATAGTTCAGAGGGTTACTGCTTTGTGCTCAGACTTTTTCCTCATGGTCCAGCCAGTTCAACAAGCAGAAGTTATGTGGGAATCATGTTTGCTCTGTGTAGTAGCCAGAACGATGGTGTTCTGGAGTGGCCAGCTGGGAATAGGCAGGTGACCTTCACCATAGTCGATCAAGAGCCTGACATAACCCAAAGGATGTCATCAAGTCGGACCTTTACAACAGACCCAGAAGAGCTTCATAGTAAGTTTACGGCCTATTCCATACTTCAACGTTGATTGATTAGCTGAAGTCTAGTTTTCCATGCTGTGGGGGTTGGTAAATGTAAATAAACACAAGCATTACCATAGTATTTATTTTTTTAATTATTTTTATTTTATTTAAGTAAACATACATTTGCAAGTGTTTGCTGCATACAGTGCAATACTTTCTATCTATTAATGTTCTATAATCATTTATCTGATAATATATTTCTATTAAGGGGTCACAGTCTACTATCTAAATAATACATAAAAAATATCATAGATTCTTACTTTACATCCACTTCTTCTTTGTCTACAGTCTTATAGGATCCTCTATATACATTTTTAATTTAACTTTACATTAAGGTGTTGAATCATTGGTTGCCATTAATTAACAAAGTTGTCTAATATTTCTCCTCTTAATAATACAGTTATTTTGTCCATTATCAACATATCTATAATATATTTTCCCCATTCTTCCAAAGGAGGTATGTCTGGGGTTTTCCAATATCTAGCAATATACTATTCTAGCTGCCACTGTTGTGTGAAACAAAATTTTTCCAAATTTTCTTTCTAATTCTTCCTCAGGCATATTCAAAAGGTACATTTCAGGTGTCATTTTGAAGTTTGTGTTTAACATTTTTCATTACCATAGTATTTAAAGCAAGATATACCCTGCAGTATAATAAAGTGTAGCTTGGGCTTGTATAACAAGTAACAGTAACTTTACTTCAGTTCAAAAGGTCAAACAGGGCAACAATATATACAGCAGCCTCTCTGAATTCGCAGCGTCTCTGCTTCATGCCTTAGAAATGATTAGGCTTCAGAGAGTTGGCAATCATTTCCTTCCTGGCTGTTTCCAGTCAGCACTCTCTTCACTCTCCGGGGCGAAAGTGACAGTTAAAACTGTTTGTCTCAGCAGCAAGCCAGAGACAGTAGCCAATCAGAACTCTGGCTCCTGACTGGCTCAGCCAATCAGCTACCGACAAATGTCTTTCCGGCCAACCCACTTACATCGTGGTGCCTTTTTACAAATCCCCACACATGCTACTCTGCCTTGTTTTGTTAACTGTTGTTTGATTATTTTACCTTCTAGAATCTAGCCTAATACATTTCCATTTATATCCTCCCTTTCTTTCAGTATGGGACCCAAGGAAGCTCACAATCTATATAAATAAAATGTTTGTGGGATTAACATAACTCAAAAACCACTTGACTAATTGATATGGAATTTGGACACTATACCCCTAACAGACCAATGTGTGACCATCTATATATATAAATTTCCTCCTGGCGTCGTATGGCGGAACAAAACTCAAAAACCCCCCAACGAAACGCCACCAAACTTCCCATGCCCCAAGGGCAACCAACAAGGTACAAACTAATCCACTCAGAAATCAAAAACACACAACAACAACCACAATAAACGACAAAGCAACTGAGCATGCGCACTGGCGCAAACTCCCTGGCGCGGACACACATGGCCCCACCCCCTCCCCCCCGGCGCGGCACACACACAGGCACGCGCACGGCCCCTCCCCCCCCCCCGGCGCGGCACACAAACACACGCGCCCCCTCTCCCCCCTCCGGCGCGGCACACACACACATGCACACACACGCGCGCACGCGCCCCCTCTCCCCCCTCCGGCGCGGCACACACACACATGCACACACGCGCGCGCACGCGCGCCCCCTCACCCCCCCCGGCGCGGCACACACACACATGCACACACACGCACGCGCGTGCCCCCTCACCCCCCCCGGCGCGGCACACACACACATGCACACACATGCGCGCACGCGCCCCCTCACACCCCCCGGCGCGGCACACACACACATGCACACACACGCGCGCGCGTGCCCCCTCACACCCCCCGGCGCGGCATACACACACATGCACACACACGCGCGCGCGTGCCCCCTCACACCCCCCGGCGCGGCATACACACACATGCACACACACGCGCGCGCGTCCCCCTCACACACCCCGGCGCGGCACACGCGCGTGCGCGCGCCCCCCCTCTCCCCCCTCCGGTGCGGCACACGCACGCACGCGCGCCCGCGCGCCCCCTCACTCCCCTGGCGCGGCACACACGCGCGCGTGTGCGCCCCCTCTCCCCCCCGCGCGGCACACACGCGCGCGCGCGCCCCCATCCCCCCTCCCCTCCTCGTTCCCTCCAAGCCACGCCCCCTTCTAAACCCATCCCCCCTCCCCTCCTCACCTTACCCCCAAGCCACGCCCCTTCTAAACCCATCCCCCCTCCCCTCCTCCCACCTTACCCCCAAGCCACAACCCATCCCCCCTCCCCTCCTCCCTCCTCACGTTACCTCCAAGTCACGCCCCCTTCTAAACCCATCCCCCCTCCCCTCCTCACGTTACCCCCAAGCCACGCCCCTTCTAAACCCATCCCCCCTCCCCTCCTCTCCTTACCTCCAAGCCACGCCCCCTTCTAAACCCATCCCCCTCCCCTCCTCCCTCTTACCCTTCTCACCTTACCTCCAAGCCACGCCCCTTCTAAACCCATCCCCCCTCCCCTCCTCACATTACCTCCAAGCCACGCCCCCTTCTAAACCCCTCCCCCCTCCCCTCCTCCCTCCTCACCTTACCTCCAAGCCACGCCCCCTTCTAAACCCATCCCCCCCCTCCCCTCCTCACCTTACCCCCAAGCCACGCCCCTTCTAAACCCATCCCCCCTCCCCTCCTCCCACCTTACCCCCAAGCCACGCCCCTTCTAAACCCATCCCCCCTCCCCACGTTACCTCCAAGCCACGCCCCCTTCTAAACCCATCCCCCCTCCCCTCCTCCCTCCTCACCTTACCTCCAAGCCACGCCCCCTTCTAAACCCATCCCCCCTCCCCTCCTCCCTCCTCACCTTACCTCCAAGCCACACCCCCTTCTAAACCCATCCCCCTCCCCTCCTCACCTTACCCCCAAGCCACGCCCCTTCTAAACCCATCCCCCCTCCCCTCCTCCCTCCTCACGTTACCTCCAAGCCACGCCCCCTTCTAAACCCATCCCCCTCCCCTCCTCCCTCCTCAAATACAATCTATATATATAAATTTCCTCCTGGCGTCGTATGAGGAAACAAAACTCAAAAAAACCCCAACGAAACGCCCCCTTCTAAACCCATCCTCCCTCCCCTCCTCCCTCTACCTTCCTCACGTTACCTCCAAGCCACGCCCCCTTCTAATCTGTCAAGGAAGAATCATAGAATCATAGAATCAAAGAGTTGGAAGAGACCTCATGGGCCATCCAGTCCAACCCCATTCTGCCAAGAAGCAGGAATATTGCATTCAAATCACCCCTGACAGGAGAGAAAGAGGGAGGGAAAGAAAGAAGGAAGGAAGGAATGAGGGAGAAAAGGAAGAAAGGAGAGAAAGAGGGAGGGAAAGCAAGAAGGAAGGAATGAGGTAGAAAAGGAAGAAAGGAGAGAAAGAGGGAGGGAAAGAAAAAGGGGGAGGAAGGAAAGTTAGAGAAAGAAGGAAGGAGAGAAGGAAAGAAAAAAGGGACAGAAGGAAGGAAAGAGGGAGCGAAGGAAGGGGATAAAATATAGAGAAAGAGGGAGGGAAGGAAAGGAGGAAAGAGAGAAGGAAGAAAAGAGACACAGCAGAAGAGAAAGAAAAAGGGGGAAGGACGGAAAGCGATAGAGAAGGAAGGAAGGAGAGAAGGAAAGACGGGAAGGAAGGAAGGATACAGGGAGTGAAGGAAGGAGGGAAAGAAGGGGAGATAGGGGGAAGGTTGGCCACAGCAACGCGTGGCGGGTACAGCTAGTTACTAATAAAAACCTCCAAAAGAACAGCAGAAAAGACTTTAAAACCCTCAAAGCTACATGACTATACAGCAAATGCGTTAGAATGGTACACCTCCCCAGTCTCAGGCCCCATCCTGCACGAGGGAAAAAACCAAACAGCTAAGAAAGAGGTCACTAGAGAGAGGGCGGGAAAGTTATATCCCTCTCACTACCCCTGCCTCTCCCCTCCTAAACACTTCTGGTCCAAAGAATTTCAGATATGGCAGGCCACTCAACCTGCAGCTGTACATACAGGCCTACTCCTAGTCCCCGGAAATTTCAGATGATCCAACGGGCGGCAGCCAGGTTGTTAACTGGGGCTTCTTACAGGGAGCGGTCATCCTTCCTGTTCAAGGAGCTTCACTGGCTGCCATTCATCTACCGGACCTAATTCAAGGTGCAGGTTCTTACCTACAAAGCCCTGAACTGGCTGGGACCCGCCTACCTGCGTGACCAAATCTCTGTGTACAAACCCACACGATCTCTTCGTTCATCTGGAGAGGCCCTCCTCTCGATTCCACCAGCATCGCAGGCGCGATTGGTGGGGACAAGAGAGAGGGCCCTTTTGGTGGTGGCCCCTCGACTCTGGAACTCACTCCCTAAGGACATCAGGCAGGCCCCAACCCTGGAGGAGCTTGACGACGTGGTTGTTCCAGTGTGCCTTCCCGGATTAACGATCCCATAGCACTTTGTCCCTCTAAAACACTTTACATTTCTTTAGGTCTGCTCATATGTCTTCCACAAACGCCACTATCACCTTTTCGTCCATGTTCAGCACTATTTCCAATTTTAATTTTACATTTGGCCTTCCCATAGTTTTAATTGTATGTTGTCTAATTGATAATGTTATATGTTATGTTTTATTTTAATTGCTTGTATTGTTGTGTTCGGCCTCAGCCTCATGTAAGCCGCACCGAGTCCCTTGGGTAGATGGTAGCGGGGTACAAATAAAGTGTTGTTGTTGTTATTATTATTATTATTATTATTATTATTATTAGTGCAGCTGCTGTGGCCTCTAGCCACCTCCTCCTTGTGAGCCGAGGGAGAAAGAGAGGCGGGTGCGCGCATGCCTGCCTTCCTTACCCTGGATTCATTTTATTTAATTATAGAAGGTACAGTTTGTTTCAGCATTTCTTCTTTGTTTATTTAATTTTTGCACAACAGATGGGAGATACTTTTGGGATAAACCCACAACTACTGGATCTTTTGATCCTTTCTATAACCAATACATAGGCCCAATGTGGGGCTGGAATTACATCCTGCCACACAGTGAATTGCACCGAAGAAAATTCCTGAAAAACGACAATCTAATCATCTTTGCCAGCTTTGAAGGTAGGTGGTGATTTCTGTTTATTTTTTTTAACTGATTATATAAGAAAACAGTGCCAAGAAAGTCAAGAAAGACTTACAACAAGCAAACTGAACAAATAATTCAGTAGAATATATTTTGTTGGATTAGTATACTCATATTATGTTAACAGATCACCACATATTTCAATAAAAACAACTCAGAATTAAACGAATTCAGGCCCCTTCCACACAGCTGAATAAAACTCCACATTTTCTGCTTTGAACTGGAATTTATGGCAGTGTGGACTCAGATAACCCAGTCCAAAGCAGATATTGTGGGATTTTCTGCCTTTATACTCTGGGTTATATGGCTGTGTGGAAGGGCCCAAACTGATCCCGATATTGTGAGAACAAGTGTATAGGGACCAGGAGGAGACCTAATGATCTAGGCAAGAGACAAGTAATCCTTCCCCCAAGGATGCAAAAAGAAAAGTCTTTCATTTTGCAATATTGTAAAGAAAAAAAATGACATGACACGTATCAACATAACGGACATGGAGGAGAATGCTGAAAAAATAAGAGTGTGGACCACAGATACATAATATTGCTTGGCTAGTAAACGATGAAGAGGAAGAATGGATAATCTATCTATATAAATAAAAATGTAATGTTTGTTTGTGGGACTAACATAACTCAAAAACCACTGGGCGAATTGACACCAAATTTGGACACAATACACCTATCAGGCCGGGTGACCATCACTCATAAAAACACTGAAAAACACAGCGGAAGACACTTAAAAAGCCAAAAGATAAATAATACACTACAACACATGCACATAACCACATTGTTCCCATGACATAATAATAATGATGATGATGATGATGATGATGATGATGATGATGATGATGATGATAATCTTTATTTATACCCTGCCACCATCTCCCCAAAGTGGACTCGGGCAGCTTACATGAGGCCAAGCCCTATAATACAGGACAGCAAAATAAATATAAAACTACAAAAAACAACATCACAATAAAATAGATAAAACATAGGAGTAAAATGTTGTTGTTCATTCGTTCAGTCGTCTCCGACTCTTCGTGACCTCATGGACCAGCCCACGCCAGAGCTCCCTGTCGGCCGTCACCACCCCCAGCTCCTTCAAGGTCAGTCCAGTCACTTCAAGGATGCCATCCATCCATCTTGCCCTTGGTAGGCCCCTCTTCCTTTTGCCTTCCACTTTCCCCAGCATAATTGTCTTCTCTAGGCTTTCTGTCTCCTCATGATGTGGCCAAAGTACTTCAACTTTGTCTCTAGTATCTTTCCCTCCAGTGAGCAGCCGGGCTTTATTTCCTGGAGGATGGACTGGTTGGGTCTTCTCGCAGTCCAAGGCACTCTCAGAACTTTCCTCCAACACCACAGCTCAAAAGCATCGATCTTCCTTCGCTCAGCCTTCCCTAAGGTCCAGCTCTCACATCAGTAGGTTACTACAGGGAATACCATGGCTTTGACTAGGCGGATCTTTGTTGCCAGTCTGATGTCTCTACTCTTTACTATTTTATCGAGACTGGACATTGCTCTCCTCCCAAGAAGTAAGCGTCTTCTGATTTCCTGGCCACAGTCTGCATCTGCAGTAATCTTTGCACCTAGAAATACAAAGTCTGTCATGGCCTCCACGTTTTCTCCCTCTATTTTCCAGTTGTCAATCATTCTTGTTGCCATAATCTTGGTTTTTTTTTTAGCTGCAACCCAGCTTTTGCGCTTTCTTCTTTCACCTTGATTAGAAGGCTCCTCAGCTCCTCCTCGCTTTCGGCCATCAGAGTGGTGTCATCTGCATATCTGAGGTTGTTAATGTTTCTTCCAGCAATTTTCACCCCAGCTTTGCATTCATCCAGCCCCTGGCATTATAATGATGTAAAAACAGCATACAAGTTAAAAAGGTTGGGTGAGGGTATGCAGCCTTGCCGTACGCCTTTCCCAATCTTGAACCAGTCTGTTGTTCCGTGGTCAGTTCTTACTGTTGCTACTTGGTCCTTGTACAGATTCCTCAGGAGAGAGACAAGGTGGCTTGGTATGTCCATCCCACCAAGAACTTGCCACAATTTATTATGATCCACACAGTCAAAGGCTTTAGACTAGTCAATGAAGCAGAAGTAGATGTTTTTCTGAAACTCCCTGCCTTTCTCCATTATCCAGCGGATATTGGCAATTTGGTCTCTCGTTCCTCTACCTTTTCTAAACCCAGCTTGAACATCTGGCAACTCTCGCTCCATGTATTGCTGGAGTCTTCCTTGCAGGATCTTGAGCATTACCTTACTGGCATGAGAAATAAGGGCCACTGTATGGAAGCTGGAGCAGTCTTTCGCATTTCCCTTTTTTGGTATGGGGATGTAAGTTGATTTTTTCCAGTCTGATGGCCAGTCTTGTGTTTTCCATATTTGCTGGCATATGGCATGCATCACCTTGACAGCATCATCTTTTAAGATTTTAAACAGTTCAGCTGGGATCCCGTCGTCTCCTGCTGCCTTGTTGTTAGCAATGCTTCTTAAGGCCCATTCAACCTCACTCCTCAGGATGTCTGGTTCTAATTCACTCACCATGCGGTCAAAACTATCCTCGATATTATTATCCTTCCTATACAGATCTTCTGTATAGTCTCGCCACCTTCTCTTGATCTCTTCAGCTTCTGTTAGGTCCCTGCCATCTTTGTTTCTTATCATACCAATTTTTGCCTGTAATTTACCTCCAATGTTTCTAATTTTCTGGAAGAGGTCTCTTGTCCTTCCTATTCTGTTGTCTTCTTCCACTTCCATGCATTGCTTATTTAAAAATAGTTCCTTATCTCTTCTGGCTAACCTCTGGAATTGTGCATTTAACTGGGCATATCTCCCCTTATCCCTGTTTCCTTTTGCTTTCCTCCTTTCTTGGGCTACTTCCAGTGTCTCAGCAGCCAACCATTTTGCCTTCTTGGTTTTCTTTTTCTTTGGGAGGAGTAAAATAAAAGAGTGCAAAACGACAGAGTGAAAAATTAAACACAAAGACCAGGCCCAATGAATGACATAGAATGATAAAACTCTGGATGAGATAAAAAAAACAAAAAGGTATATTTGTAAGGGAGGAGCTCGTAGGGGATGGAACAGTGGATTATATGACAGTTTAGACTAAAGACTCTTCCAGACAGGCCCTATATCCCAGGATCTGATCCCATTAAGTCCAATCGTGTCCAACTCGGGGAGGGGGAGGTGGTGCTCATCTCAATTTCTAAGCTCCATAGACACCTCCAAAGTCATGTGGCTGGCATGACTGCATGGAGCACTGTTACCTTCCTCTTGGAGAGGTACCTATTCATCTACTCACATTGGCATGTTTTCGAATTGCTAGGTTGGCAGAAGCTGGGGCTAATAGAGGGAGCTCATGCCGCTCCCCAGATTCGAGCCTGTGACCTTTCGGTTAGCAAGTTTAACATCTCAGCGGATTAACCCACTGCACCACTGGGGGCTTCAGCATAACCACATGTGTATTTATGCATAATACATAAATACACATATACACAAATATATACACACACATGTTAGGACAATAAGTCATGGAAAGAGTTGGAGACACAAACAAGTGGAAGAGCGACAGTGTGAAATGTTGAAGTAAATGAACTAGCAAGCATTCAGCACAAACAGTACTTTAGAAAATGACGGAAGTTTCCATGGCTTTCTTACACAACTCCAATGATGTCTGTGTCTCCACTCCCACCCCCCACCCCCACCCCCCTCCACCCTTATTCTTGCAGTTGTTGAAGACCCGGGGAGTGTTTTATAATCTGTGAGACTCAATTCCTTTGTGGAGGTTTTCGCCATTGTCTGATCTTCGAGCAATCTGGTATAATTTAGATATTCACAATTTCTACTTTTGTGAAGAAAAGAAATTCAAGTTAATGAATGCACATGTTCTTCTGAATATTGCCTAAATTGCAACCTGCACACGCATCTGTCAGAGCTTGTAAGTTTATCAACCTATTACATGACATTGTGCTCAAAATAATTCACAGAGAACAAGTAATCTGAGTATAGTAACAGCAAGGACAGGGAAGAAATTCCGTTTTAACTTAATTGCTAAGTAGAATTTATATTTCCTCAACAAAAGCTTGAAACAGAATGCTAAAATGTTCATATTTTGTTAAACAATTTGCAGATGTTTAACTTTGCATACCAAAGGCACACAGGCATACCTCAGTTAACAAAGCCTCTATTAGAGAAGCTCTTTTTTATAATGTCTTTCTTGCATCCAACCAGCCCCTGGTGAAACCAAGATATTCATTTTCAGTTTATCATCATGTGTCTTTAATAAACCATGAAATAAAGTTTGAATTTGTAGAGAATGAAAGTCTCCTCTATCTGAATTTACTATAACTGTGTTCACCTGCCTACAACAGGCAAAACCCGGAATCCTATATCTCATCACACGAGTTAAACTGCTTCTGGCTGTCATGCATTGCCCTCCGGGGTTGAAAAGAGGCCGAAGTATCCTGAAAGGAGGGAACTCCAGCAATTGACCTCATCACAGAGAAATGTCCCCCTCGTAGGACACTTCGGCCTTTTTTCTAGCATGGAGAAGCAAGGAACTCATCCCATGTTCCGGGGTTGGAATCATAGACTTTCAAATAGACCAAAATGATGATAAGACCTTCTTCTACCTCGCAATGGCTGCAAGAATAAGCATTGCCCGCCTTTGGAAAATGGAAGAAACAACAACAATAAACAACTGGATTGAAAAAGCGATGGATATTATGAACATGGATCTGTTGACCCAACAAGTTGCTCAAAATAGACTACCACAAAACAAAACAGTAAATTTATTAACTTTCTAAAAAAAAAAGTAAATTTATTAACTTTCTAAAAAAAAGAAAAGTTATAAATATTAACAATAAGTGAATGAAGAAGTCCCTAGGGCCGAAACATGAATAATGAAACATGATTCATATAACACAAATTAGATAAAGTAAAAAGTGTCAAGGTACAGATGCCACGAAGTCAAGCTCAAGTGAAAAGTAACAACAGTTTATTACAGGTACAGCTCAAAAGAATCAAGAATGCTTAACAGCAGCAAAATAGAATTTCAAAACAAAGCACAGACCAACCAGTCAAAAAGGAAGTAAAACAGAGTCCCAGAATCCTAAAAATCCCAACCTGAAGCTGATGGGAACTTTAGGAGGGTCTTCCCCAGGAAGAGGGACCCTGGGACCCCACCAAAGAGGGGTCGTTACTTTGGCGAGCTAGAGAAGCCCGATTTCAGCAATTTTATTAAATTAAAAATTTGAAAGAAACCTCACCAAAGTTGAAGAAGCAGCACCGAGATGTTTTTATTAGTGATTCAGCTGAAAAGGATGCAATGTAGCAATCATTCACCTACAGAGCATGCCAGTACAGAGATCAGAGACATTTTTATAGGGTTTACAGGCTTAGAAGTTTCAAAATTCCCGCTTCCTGCCCCCTGCCCAGCTCGCTGGTGATTGGCTGGTTGGATAACAGCTGGGAGGAGGCTCGGCCGCCGCCCCCCCCCCCCCCCCCCCCCCTCACCAGGACCAATCACAGGACTCCTCCACTGCGCGGGAGCCTATCAGAAAGCTCCCACCACTCTGGCACTTCAGCGAATCAGGAAGAGGGAGGCGGGACGGAAAAGGGGGAAGGTAGGGGGAGGGTAGGGTAGATGGTGTAGAAGAAAGTCTGCAAGTGACCATAGATTTAGTCTCTTGCAGATGGAAACACTTCCAGGATTCCAGATCAGACTTCAACCCATTTTTTTAAAAAAAATTAAATTTCCTTTTATCAAAATTATGAGTTTTTCTGTCTTCTCATAAAAGGGAAGCTGGACTTACTTACCCAGATCATTTCCTCTAATTGGCCCCAGAATGAACAGCCACAGACCCGTACCTAATATTATTGTTGCCTGCCATAGCATTGCACTTAATTCCCGGGCCCCCTACAATTTTTGGGCTTGCACAAATCATGGCCCGGCCTTTTAAATTTTTAAATTGCCTTGAACAGGCAGGATTACTTTTAATATATGTGTGTTATGGCAACAATGTTTATGCTTATATTTTGTTTTGTTAATCTTATGGTTATGTTGCTTTTTTACTTTGTATGTTTTGTGATGTTACCTGGGAACCGCTCTGAGTCCCCTCGGGGAGATGGAGAGGTATATAAATAAAGTTTTATTATTTATTTATTATTACAGTACAAATGTTTATTATCAGTAAAATAGATTGTTTTGGAGGTTGGTGGATTCAGCTTCTTTGGAGGTCCATCAAGAGGTTGGATGGGCATCTCTCTGAAGTGTTGTAGTGGTACAAGATTGAACTAAATGGACTAAACGAGACTGGATTTGTAGCCTCTTCCAACTGTAAAATTCTGTTACTTGAAGCTGGATTTAATGTCACCCAGTAAATGGCCAGGAGGGGGTGCCGTCAGCTCAAGACTGGTGAAAGAGGAAATTATCCTTGGACACATTTTCAAAGAGACATTCAAACAATCTTTAGGAGTATGAAAAGCTTTCTACTTACTTATATAAGGCTTACATGAGCTGATTGTTTCATTTCAGACATGTATCTTGTAAAAAAATTTAAATCAAAAAGTCACTGAAACATTTTAATATACTCTTCTTTTTTCTGTGGTGTGGGAACCTGTCCCTATGGTTTCTATGTTATTTCTCCATCAAGTTTTTTTTTTGTCGTGTCAGGAGCGACTTGAGAAACTGCAAGTCGCTTCTGGTGTGAGAGAATTGGCCGTCTGCAAGGACATTGCCCAGAGGATACCCGGATGTTTTGATGTTTTATCATCCTTGTGGGAGGCTTCTCTCATGTCCCCACATGAGGAGCTGGAGATGATAGAGGGAGCTCATCCGCGCTCTCCCCGGATTCGAACCTGCGACCTGTCATTCTTCAGTCCTGCCAGCACAGGGGTTTAACCCACTGCGCCACCGGGGGCTCCTCCATCAAGTTGAGGAACACATTTAGGACTTTATAGCAGGGAGGTGGAAACTAGCACAGTAACAGAACTTAATCACTGTCGATGATGGTTCCTATTACACGAGGTTACACTGCTGGTCTGCCACCTCCATGTCATAAATGTTTAACCCACTGCGCCACTGGGGGTTTAAGGAATTACAAGCGTGAAACACAGCAATTATGCAATATTGCCCAACATTGTGATGTTAAGTCACTGCTATCCTGTATCATGGGAATGCTGCGAGATAGCGGCTCCCATGCAATAATGTCCCTTTGTATTGTGTTTCATTTAATTGGAAGTGGAAATGTTACAGTCACATCACAGCTTTGCATTCACTTCTCCGGAATCATAAAACAGAACTGACAGTTTATTTAAGTATAGATTTATAGATGGAGCCAGATATCTACAATGGCCATGATAGTATCTCTCTGTGTGTGTAATATGGGAAGTTGCAGATTGAAGGGAGTTTCCAATGTTCAATTATTAACTGGCATTGTATGTTCTTTAACATCTTTATATAAAATTAAATTTGGATCATACAAGTAGAATATCCACATCTCTTCACATAAATGTTTAGAAAACAACAAAGGCGACGTATGCCCCCCCCCCCTTTTTATAGGTAAAGGCTTACCCCTGACATTAAGTCCAGTTGTGTCCGATTCTGGGGAGTTGGTACTCATCTCCATTTCTAAGCCAAAGAGCTGGCATTGTCCGTAGACGCCTCCAAGGTCATATGGCCAGCATGACTGCAAGGAGCGCTGTTACCTTTCCGCCAGTGCGATTTCTATTGATCTACTTATATTTGCATGTTTTCGAACTGCTATGTTGACAGAAGCTGGGGCTGAGAGCAGAAGCTCACACTGCTCCCCGGATTCAAACCTGCGATCTTTCGATCAACAAGTTTAGCAGCTCAGCGGTTTAACCCACTGCGCCACCAGGGACTCCCCCCGCCCCCCAATATATATATGGAAAAAAATCCATATATACTCTCCCCTTCCAGTGTTGCCGACTGTCTACACCAGGGGTCCTCAAACTTTTTAAACAGAGGGCCAGGTCACAGTCCCTCAAACTGTTGGAGGGCTGGATTGTAATTTGGAAAAAATAATAATTTAGAAAAAATAATTGAACCCTATCAACAATGGAATTGAACCAAACATGGCACAGAAAATACTGGAAGAGTTTGGTGGGCAGTATCTTTTGGTTTTGGAGTTGTAGTTCACCTCCATCCAGAGATCACTGTGGACTCAAACAATGATGGATCTGGACCAAAATCTACACAAATACTCAATATGCCCAAATGTGAACACTGGTGGAGTTTGAGGAAAATAGAATCTTGACATTTGGGAGTTGTAGTTGCTGGGATTTGTAGTTCACCTACAATCACAGAGCATTCTGAACCACACCAACGATAGAATTGGGCCAAACCTCCCACACAGAACCTCCATGTGAGCCACAGCAACGCATGGCAGGGGATAGCTAGTAACATATAAGAGCATAGCTGGACTTAAGTATAAGATCCTGGTACATAGTTACACTGATGTTGCCTTTTAAGTGGTTATATGTTTATATACACGTATATTGCAAATCAACGTGGCGCAGTGGGTTAAACCCCTGTGCTGGCAGGACTGAAGACTGACAGGTCGCAGGTTCGAATCCAGGGAGAGGCGGATGAGCTCCCTCTATCAGCTCCAGCTCCTCATGTGGGGACATGAGAGAAGCCTCCCACAAGGATGATAAAAACATCAAAATCATCTGGGCATCTGCTGGGCAACGTCCTTGCAGATGGCCAATTCTCTCACACCAGAAGCGGCTTGCAGTTTCTCAGGTCACTCCTGACACGACAAAAAAAACCAACTAAAAAACCAACTATTTCAAATGCTGCCAAAATCATTGCTATTATCTGTTGTTGTTTTATGCAGCCTAGATCAAGGCTTCTTAAAATACTTTCCCAAGTATTTTAATATATAACCAGTTAGGAGCCCTAAATGCTGATAAAGAAAAGGTTTGACACTATAAATATCCTACCCCAAATCATTCATGAACTGAGCTGGCTTTTAGAAAGAATCTTCTAGCTGGCTTTTTCTGTGCAGACTGTTGAATAAAGGCTTTGTATGGTTTCCTATACTGAACTGTTTAAAATCTTAAAAGATGATGCTGTCAAGGTGATGCATGCCATTTGCCAGCAAATATGGAAAACACAAGAATGGCCATCAGACTCGAAAAAATCAACTTATATCCCCATACCAAAAAAGGGAAATGCGAAAGACTGCTCAAACTTCCGTACAGTGGCCCTTATTTCTCATGCCAGTAAGGTAATGCTCAAGATCCTGCAAGGAAGACTCCAGCAATACATGGAGCGAGAGTTGCCAGATGTTCAAGCTGGGTTTAGAAAAGGTAGAGGAACGAGAGACCAAATTGCCATATATCCGCTGGATAATGGAGAAAGGCAGGGAGTTTCAGAAAAACATCTACTTCTGCTTCATTGACTATTCTAAAGCCTTTGACTGTGTGGATCATAATAAATTGTGGCAAGTTCTTGGTGGGATGGGCATCCCAAGCCACCTTGTCTCTCCCCTGAGGAATCTGTACAAGGACCAAGTAGCAACAGTCAGAACTGACCACGGAACAACAGACTGGTTCAAGATTGGGAAAGGCGTACGGCAAGGCTGCATACTCTCACCCAACCTTTAACTTGTATGCAGAACACATCATGCGATGTGCGGGGCTGGATGAATGCAAAGCTGGGGTGAAAATTGCTGGAAGAAACATTAACAACCTCAGATATGCAGATGACACCACTCTGATGGCCGAAAGCGAGGAGGAGCTGAGGAGCCTTCTAATCAAGGTGAAAGAAGAAAGCACAAAAGCTGGGTTGCAGCTAAACATCAAAAAAACCAAGATTATGGCAACAAGAATGATTGACAACTGGGAAAATAGAGGGAGAAACCGTGGAGGCCGTGACAGACTTTGTATTTCTAGGTGCAAAGATTACTGCAGATGCAGACTGTGGCCAGGAAATCAGAAGACGCTTACTTCTTGGGAGGAGAGCAATGTCCAATCTCGATAAAATAGTAAAGAGTAGAGACATCAGACTGGCAACAAAGATCCGCCTAGTCAAAGCCATGGTATTCCCTGTAGTCACCTACGGATGTGAGAGCTGGACCTTAGAGAAGGCTGAGCGAAGGAAGATCGATGCTTTTGAACTGTGGTGTTGGAGGAAAGTGCTGAGATAGAGTGCCTTGGACTGCGAGAAGATCCAACCAGTCCATCCTCCAGGAAATAAAGCCCGACTGCTCACTGGAGGGAAAGATACTAGAGACAAAGTTGAAGTACTTTGGCCACATCATGAGGAGACAGGAAAGCCTAGAGAAGAGAATTATGCTGGGGAAAGTGGAAGGCAAAAGGAAGAGGGGCCGACCAAGGGCAAGATGGATGGATGGCATCCTTGAAGTGACTGGACTGACCTTGAGGGAGCTGGGGGTGGTAACGGCCGACAGGGAGCTCTGGCGTGGGCTGGTCCATGAGGTCACGAAGAGTCGGAGACGACTGAACGAATGAACAACAACAAATGGTTTCCTATTCCCGTGTTAATTAATTGACTTGCATCACGCTAGTCAAACATCTCTGCCTGCCTGCTTTAGCGGCAGAAACATAATATGAAAAATATTTAAAGTTTATATTTAAGTTTAAAGCTGGTCTGAAATAATTACAGATAAATGTGAGCAATCAGAAAGCAGGTTTTTCAGGGTTTTACAAAGACCCTGCAGGTCAATGAGCCATAGTAAAATGGTTTTTTTTAATCTTCCTGCCAGATTTTTTTTCTTGCTAATTTATATCTCTAAAACTAAAAAGGATCCCGATAGCATTATTCAGGAACACCATCTGCCTACATCACTAGTCTTCCATGTCAAAAGAACAGCTTGCGATTTAATCTCAGAGACCTATAAATAAATGACCGTTTCTCAAAATAGGATAATTCTCAGTTAGGCTCTCTTGATCAAGTGGTTAATGCAGATACAACGTCTTCATTTCATACCAATGCTAATCGGCATTCCACGCCCATTCTGCTTGGCTGTACGGTTTTGAGCCCAGTGTTTATTGTTGCTGCAGTCACATCCACATTGGAAAACCTGGCTTTGGGTTCACATTGATGAGCTCAAACTTTGTTATAATGTTGGAGTTCAATCCCTTGAATGTAATCCCATCAATTTTGGATATGAGACAAGATCATATCCCCCCCCCCCCAATTATCAAAAGAGAGGTGGGGCAAAAGACAAATGAAGTTTCAAATTAGATTGCCAATGTCACAGATTGTTCTTAATAATAATAATAATAATAATAATAATAATAATAATAATAATAGCCTCCTTACTGGGATCTGCACGCATTATTCGCCGATATATCACACAGTCCTAGACACTTGGGAAGTGTCCAACGTGTGATCCAATTCAACAGTCAGCAGAGTGTCTGCTGTGGACTCATCTTGTTGTGTTTCAAATAATAATAATAATAATAGTAGTAATAATAATAATAATAGATCACATCCTCACATCATCATTTTAATAATACATAATAGTAATATAATAATAATATAATAATAGATCACATCCTAATAATAATAATAATAATAATAATAATAAATCACATCCTCAGCTGCTGCAAGAAGATCGCGCAGACAGGCTACAAGCAGAGGCATAACACCACTGCTCAGATGATTCATTGGAACCTGTGCCACAAATGCCATCTTTCTGTGACAAAAAACTGGTGGGATCATAAGCTGGAAAAAGTTACAGAAAGTGAACATGTCAAACTCCTCTGGGACTTCCGAATTCAGACAGAGTTTTGGAGCACAATACTCCTGACCTCATGATCATGTTAAAAAACAAAGTGTGGATTGTTGGTGTTGCAATCCCAGGTGACAGCAGGATTGAAGAGAAACAACTGACACGATATGAGGATTTAAAGATCAAACTGCAAAGACTCTGGCACAAGCCAGTAAAGGTAGTCCCAGTAGTGATCGGCACATTGGGTGCAGTGCCTAAAGACTTTGGCCTGCACTTAAATACAATCGGCGCTGACAAAATTACCATCTGCCGGCTGCTGAAGGCCACCTTACTGGGATCTGCACGGATTATTCACCGATACGTCACACAGTCCTAGACACTTGGGAAGTGTGATCCAATACAACTTGGCTTGTAGATATAGCGCCTTCCATTCCAGTTAGTAGTGCTTAGCAATAATACTGCTTAGGAATCACAGCAAGTATTTACTTAATACTCAATTACTCATTTATTTGGTTTATAATAAGAATAAGAATAAGAATAATAGTCTTTTTTCTATCCCACCCCATTTTTTGTATTTGATATCAAAATGATAAAGAGAAAAAATATTAACTGTGTGTGTGTGTGTGTCAGGAGCAACTTGAGAAACTGCAAGTTGCATCTAGTGTGAGAGAATTGGCCATCTGCAAGGACATTGCCCAGGGGATGACCGGATGTTTTACCCTCCTGTGGGAGGCTTCTCTCATGACCCCACATGAGAAGCTGGAACTGACAGAGAGAAACTCACCCCACTCCCCGGATTCGAACCACCAACCTTTTGGTCTGCAGTCCTAGTGGCACAAGGATTTAACCTTTTAGAAAAGTAATGTAAAGTGAGAACATGTGCAGTTTCCTCATGTACTTTCTATGGTGCATCCACAGTACACAATAGAATAAATGCAATTTGACACTACCTTCACTGCTATTGCTTGATGCCATTGGAATCCTGAGAGTTGTAGTTTGGTGACGCACCAGCATTCTTTGACAGAGAAGGCTAAAGATTCCAAACCATTGAGCCATGGCAGTTAAAGTGGTGTCAAACTGCATTAATTTTATAGTGTAGATGCACACAGGGTAGTACTGCAGAAAAAGAGGGGCGGGGCGGGGGGGGGGGCAGAATAGCCACACCTTCTTTACTAGATGAACTGACATACTATGATGTGGAAATTGATTGTTCTGAATCAGGCCCGTAGCCAGAATTTCATTTCGGGAGGGGGGGTGGCTGAATTTTTTTTCAGGGGGTTGGCGGGGGGGCTGAGTTTGGGGGGGCTGAGTCTGAGTGAAAGAGGGTCTAGCCTAGCAAACCTTTTGTATCATTACCCCAATACCCCCATGCATATGGGATATATTGAGTATGGTGATCAGATCATGATATGATTAAACATAACAGTTTAAATAATGCACCAGTAAGGCCTTTTCGCGAACCACCATGAGAATTTCGGGGGGGGGGTGAAGCCCCGCGCCCCCCCCCCCCTCCCGGCTACATACAACAATTAAATCATAGTCATACACAGGGCGGCTCAACCCATTACGCAAAGTAAGCATTTGCAGTATAGTTGATTTTGCCCAGGGGCGCTCTTGAGGCGCTCTTGGGGGAAAATAGACCTTGACATATGCGTGTGCTATCGCACGCTGCAAAGAGCATTCTGAACTCCACCAATGATGGAATTGAACCAGATATGGCACACAGATCTCCCACAACGAACAGAAAATATATATCAGTGATTGGTTGGGGAGGGGGCGCCAAAATACTGTTTGCTTACTGTTGAAAATTACCTAGGGCCGCCTCTGCTGATATAGAAGAAATGAAGTCTCACTGAATGTTCCCAGAAGAAGGAGCTTGATGTAATAAGAGATTAGAAGATCGGTTTCTTTTTAGTCACTTCAGCCATGGTTTCGACTAGTACAGCCTTGCAGTTCTTCAGCTTCACAGTTCTTTTTCTGCATTGCACCTCAGTCTCAGTAAGTGTCCATTCGCTGTTACTTTTATTTTAATTTTCTGTGGTTGTCGCACACACAGTGATCACATTCCCTCCTTCTTCTTTTAGATCCAGCATTTACTGCAGAACAGTGGTAAGAATGGCTTCAAACTTCCTTACTTTTTCAATCTTTCATTTTCTAATTTCTTTGGGGCTTGAAAGGAAAGTCAAAACCATACACTGAATATTATTCTTTACATTTATTAGATGCTGATGCTGGTGAACTGAGACAAGATATCCCAGAAATAAACTCAGGTATATTGTATTAAGTAGGGGACAACCCCCGACCCCAACACACCCTTTTGTTTTAAATTGTATTAAATTTAATAATAGCTAGATATGATACTCTGTTTCTAGAAAACATGTCTATACTTATCCGGTAGCCATTCTAGAGCAGAGCACACTTTTTAGATATGCACCATTTCACAACACAGTAATTCAGGGCCCTTCTACACAGCCCCATATCCCAGAATATTAAGGCAGAAAATCCCACATTATATGAGTGTAGACTCAGATAACCCAGTTCAAAGCAGATATTGTGGGATTTTCTGCCTTGATATTCTGGAATATAGGGCTGTGTGGAAGGGTCCTCGGTTTTACTACTCATAGCAAACCATAAGTTAAGCAAAACTCTTACAAGTTTGGTTGTTGTAGGTTTTTTCGGGCTATATGGCCATGTTCTAGAGGCATTCTCTCCTGACATTTTGCCTGCATCTATGGCAAGCATCCTCAGTTAGATGCAGGCGAAACGTCAGGAGAGAATGCCTCTAGAACATGGCCATATAGCCCAAAATAACCTACAACAACCCATTGATTTCGGCCATGAAAGCGTTCGACAATACTCTTGCAAGTTGTATGGACACATACACAAATTGTAATATAATGTATGGGACAATACATATCTCATAAATTTTTTTCATTTTATATATTTTTAAAATATATGATTAATTGCTTATTTTACATAGACCCAGAGGTCTCATGTTACATTCATGTGACACACCTACATACTGCAACTGACACATCAGCGTGTCACGGCACACAGCTTGGGAAAAGTTTTAATGATAAAAATTTTTTTTTTCTTAACATGCTAAATCTTTTGCATTTTGCAGTAGAAGATTTGCTTCAGTTTCTACATTTCTGAATAAAATAGAGGATTACATACCTTCCATTTGCAACCCAATATCCTTTGGAACATGTGTGCCTTGTTTTCTATCCCAACCATCCACTATGTTCCTAATGAATGCCTGTGCTTTTTAACCATTATGTAAAGGTTTTCCCTTGGCGTTAAGTCTTTGTTGTTGTTGTTCATTCGTTCAGTCGTTTCCAACTCTTCATGACCTCATGGACCAGGCCACAACACAGCTCCTTCAAAGTCAATCCAGTCACTTCAAGGATGCCATCCATCCATCTTGCCCTTGGTCAGCCCCTCTTCCTTTTAGTTGAGTCCAACTCTGGGGGGGGGGGGGGGGGGGGGTGCTCATCTTTATTTCTAAGCCAAAAAGCTGGCGTTTTCCATAGACACCTCCAAGGTCGTGTGGCCAGCATGACTGCATGGAGTGCCATTTTAGCCCTTACCCCAAGAATATATCTACATGTGTTTGTCTAAATGATTGTAGCAGTGCCACAAACAACCCCAAATAGCACTACCACGAAAATGTAGGAAAATACTAATTGTGATACATGCTCCCGCGTTTCACTCACTCTCTCTCACACGCACAGGCACATGCATGATTCTCAAAATGACTTCCAAGTAGTGTAGCTGATGAGCTGGAGCTTTGCTTGATGCAAGCAAACTAGCTAGCAGTTCTAATTTCTGATGAAGCACAGAATCGATGAATATGGGGAAGAATTAAGATCACTCTTACATAGGAGACTGCTATCCTGACTTCCTTCTGTCCCATTGAATAGTTGGCCAAATAAGAGTCCAACAGAGTCCAATGAAAAGAGCAATATTCATTATCTGGGGTATTTTGGGGCTCACCATGTTATGAAGTCAGGCATCTCTAGCAGAAGCAGGAGTCATTCAGGAATAGAACTAGAGCAATTTTACTGATTCATATTGAATCATAGAGTTAGAACAAGAGCCGTCCAGTCCTACTCCCTGCCAGGCAGGAAAAGCACAATCAAAGCACCCCAGACAGATGGCCATCCAGTCTCTGTTTAAAATTTTCCAAGGAAGGAGCTTCCACCACACTCCAAGGCAGAGAGTTCCACTACTGAACAACTCTTACAGTCAGGAGGTTGTTCCTAATGTTCAGGTGGAATCTCCTTTCTTGTAATTGCTCTGAGTCCTAGTTTCCAGGGCAGTAGAAAACTCCCTCTTCCTTATGGCATCCTTTCACATTTTTATACATAGGTATAATGTCTCCTCTAAATTACAAGGAGCAGAATTTTAGTGGTGCTTGAGACCTGTCTGTCTTTTGCACAATTGCAGTTCTATGCCAGCAGGGAAGGTGTTTTCATATTGCGAAGAGAGCGAAGATTCCCCTCCTATGCCATAGCAAGCTCCTCTCTGTCCTTTGAAAACTTCAGCGTTTAAAACGTAGTATGAAGTTGGGCACCAAAACAAAACTATCATTTTGGTTATGGGAGGAGCTGGAAGACACCTAACTCCCCTATATCTGCAGCCCCAATCCCTGAAAAAATTCCTATGCACATCTTATTTGTAATGCAAAAAGATATGAAAGAACAATATGATATTTAAAATGAAGAACAGTTTTAACCAACATAAACTTATCAGTATTTCAATGGTAGGTGTGTGCCTGCTTTTGGGTGATGAGATAGCCAAGTTAGTTAGGACTGTTGTTGTTGTGTGCCTTCAGGTTGTTTCCACACAGGGCTGAACCTGATTGCACTCATGTTAAAGTCCACACACCTCCCCCAACATCCACACTTTCCTGGGGAGTGTCCAGATGCCCTTCCAGGCCTTCCGGCAGGGCACCCAAACACAAAGCACCCCTCCCCCTCAAGCCTTTAAAAAAGAAAATAACTTACCTGGCCATTCCCCCTTTGCCGGATCTCTCCTGGTGCGTAGAAATGACACACCAGAAAAAGGGGGGCAGGAGTGATTTTCCTCCTCCCCCCTTCTCCTGGCGTGTCATTTCTACATGCCAGGAGAATTCCGGAGGAGGAGGAATGGCAGCCAGGTAAGTTATTTTCTTTTTTAAAGGCTTTACTGTGGAGTTTTGGGAGGAGGTGGGGACTGATCCGAGACAGCTGTGTGGATGGGCACCAGAAGGCATGTGACGTGATCTCCGAGCCCAATCCACACCATGTCCACAGCTGCAAAGACCTGAGTCTTTCCAGCTGTCAAATTAGTTTGGAACAAAGCAGGGTTTTCCTGCTTTGTGCAAAAAGAATTTGTTTTTACCTGAGGTGTCACTTGGATGCCCCAGGGGAAAATGCATGAGGGTGCACATTTTAGGCGCTGTCTGGATGCACCCTCAGACTTATGGTGACGCTAAGTCTAAAGTTTAGGGTGGCGGTTGGGTAAATGACCTTGGAGGGCTGCATCTGGCCCACAGGCCTCAGTTTTTGGACCTCTGACCTGGACTCAGGAGAGCGGACAATAGCTGAGATGAAGTGAACTAGAAACTTGTTTGGGAAAAGAGCTCATTTCAGCAGGTGTTGTAATCTATCTGTACATCTATGTTATTTGCATGATAGAGGTCCAGGACTGAAATAGTGGGATTAGAATGGCTGTTTGAAAGATGCATTCAACAATCTTTAATGAATTTAAGAATCTTCCTTCACATTCTCCCTTTCAGCTGCTGGACTCAGACTCTTCCAGGGGGATATTTTACTGCCCGTGAGTCTTCTTCAAGCCTCATATGTTAATATTCATTTTAGAAAAAAACAAACCCTGCTGTTTTCTAAAAAGGAAAGCTAATATGAATCCTTGATCATTTTCTACAGAAGAAGCGCAGTGCACTGAGAGATGAACATTACCGGTGGAAATTTCCCATTCCATTCATTCTGGCTGACAACCTTGGTAAAGCAAGCTTTCAAATATTGTGATACTCTTTTGTTTAAAATGTGTTCCAGTTGTGATTTGAGCCTGTACAAAAAACATATCTTGTGTGATATGACAGTATTTAAAGAGGTCATCTAGAGGTCTGTTCATCTAGAGGTCTGTACTTTTAGGTGGCATAGAATCATAGAATCAAAGAGTTGGAAGAGACCTCATGGGCCATCCAGTCCAACCCCCTGCCAAGAAGCAGGAATATTGCATTCAAATCACCCCTGACAGCCATCCAGCCTCTGTTTAAAAGCTTCCAAAGAAGGAGCCTCCACCACACTCCGGGCAGAGAGTTCCACTGCTGAACGGCTCTCACAGTCAGGAAGTTTTTCCTCATGTTCAGATGGAATCTCCTTTCTTGTAGTTTGAAGCCATTGTTCCTTGTCCTAATCTCCATGGAAGCAGAAAACAAGCTTGCTCCCTCCTCCCTGTGGCTTCCTCTCACATATTTATACATGGCTATCATATCTCCTCTCATACTTCTCTTCTTCAGGCTAAACATGCCCAGCTCCTTAAGCCGCTCCTCATAGGGCTTGTTCTCCAGACCCTTGATCATTTTAGTCGCCCTCCTCTGGACACATTCCAGCTTGTCAATATCTCTCTTGAATTGTGGTGCCCAGAATTGGGCACAATATTCCAGGTGTGGTCTAACCAAAGCAGAATAGAGGGGTAGCATGACTTCCCTAGATCTAGACACTATGCTCCTATTGATGCAGGCCAAAATCCCATTGGCTTTTTTTGCCGCCACATCACATTGTTGGCTCATGTTTAACTTGTTGTCCACGAGGACTCCAAAATCTTTTTCACATGTACTGCTCTCAAGCCAGGCATTGTCCCCCATTCTGTATCTTTGCATTTCGTTTTTTCTGCCTAAGTGGAGTATCTTACATTTGTCACTGTTGAACTTCATTTTGTTAGTTTTGGCCCATCTCTCTAATCTGTCAAGATCGTTTTGAATGCACCCGTTCACCTTTCCTTTTTGCAACAGACCTTGCTGGCTCCCCTTCTATCACATAGAGCTACTTCCAGCGGGGCTCCATCGCAAAAGGGAAGGTGAAGTGGCATATGGCATCACGGTGGCAACATGAGGAGGCTTCCCTTATTACATAGAGCTCAACTGGTGGAAAACAGGTGGCAGATGTTTCCCCATGAGATGTGGTGGGGGGAAGCCAGGCGATGTGGGGTGTTAGGCAATGGGTTTCCCATGCTTCATGTTGGGCACCGCTCGATTCACCATGTTGTATGACGATTCTGGCGGCCAGTATGAAGAGGTCCTCAGTATCTCCTTTCCATTAAATTTTCAAGTATTTGTCAGTGTGCTGAATGAATCCCTGGAGGTCGTTGCAAAGAGATGAGCATAGGCAAACAAATGGAAACTTAACATATCTGTATAGGAACAGAGAGGTTTTAGGAACAGAGAGGCCTGCTTTAGAAAGGGTAACCCTTGACCAGAAGAATGAGGCTGCACTCCTGAATAAAACTCTTTTAATACTTAATGAGTAGTGGTGTAATGAAAGGACAGCACTTACATTAAAGCTTAGGGATTTAAAAAATCAAGTTTAATGGATGTAATTGTGGATTTGAATCTGAGTTAAATGGCTTCTGCAAGCTGCATGTTTTGAGACACAATACTGTAAAATGATGATATGAGGGAATTACCTTTCAAGAGAGGTTACAGAAGTTGACTCTAATGCAGCTCCAAATTATAAAAGTCACATGGTGAAATATAATTATTTTCAGACAATAGCGATGGTAAAACACAAAATTTAAACCAAGGGTTGTTAATCCTGTGAAAACTTACTGGCAGCACATGGGGTGCAGACCCAAAATTAATAAGAACATCAGCCCTAGCCTTGTCTTACTCAACTGCCGAGTATGCCTGCCCTGTTTGGCATAGGTCTGCCCATGTAAAGCAGGTGAACATAGCATTGAATGAAACATGCAGAATAATCACAGGATGTCTTAAACCTACACCTGTTAATAAACTCTACAAGCTAGCTGGCATTGGCCCTACATCACTTGGAATATTTTGTCCAATTCTGGGCTCCATGTGTCGGAACACAGACGCCTTAAAGGGCCAGACTCAGAGTTAGTTCCAAAACAGAGTTTATTAAACAAAGAAAAAAGACTCAGAGACACTTAACTCAATGTCTCTGGTCAAAACTCAAAAGTAAAAACCAGTCCTGGTTCAAAAAGGTTAACCAAAGCAATAATCCGAATTATCCAGAGAAAAGAACTGGATTAAACAAAATACTCCGAAAGTCACACAAAACAGCGCAGCATGCAAATGGTTAACAAAACAGAGAAGCCACAGGGGAAGAAAGCGTAGTCAAGTTAAGTCCAGGGTCGTAACAAGCAGAATCCGAAGTAGCAAAGTTCCAAAGTCCACCAAAGCAGCGTCGTAGTCAAACCGGTCCAAGGTCAAGGAAGGAGGAAAACCACACGAGAATCCAAGCTGAGTCAAAGCACATATGAACAGGAGCAGCAACCTGCAGATCCCAAACCCAACGCCAACATGGAACAGGCAGTGACAAGTCCAGACAGTACCCAATGCACGAACGTATACCAACACTTTGCCTTCTGCAAAGATTCCCTATTTCAGAGCCTACTTTTATCTTACAAATCATCATCAGAAGATGAGCTGACCTCCACCATGTCATCATCCCTTGCAGCTGTTCTTGCTTCCACACGTGAACTCCTCTTCCCATCTCTCCAACTTCTCCATCTTCTGTCAAGACTTAGATTCCCCAAGACTCAGACGGATTCCCCGATTGCCAATCCTCATTACCAGAGAACCCCACAAATGTATCACTAGATGTTGGCTCCACACATACAGCTTGTACCTCTTGTACCTTAGTCCAGTCCAATGTGTCATCTCCATCTTCATCACTCCCTAACCCATCACTCCCAGAGAAACCCATGAATGATTCCTCATTTGTAGGAGCAGTAAGTATATCCTGGATCCTCTTCCTCTGTTGCTCCTCATCCGATTCCTGCTCCCGAGTAACCCTCATTGTTCCCCTATTCCCATCCATTGTATCTCTTTCCTCTCCTTCACTCATGGACCCTTCGTCCCCAGAAAACCCCTCAAATGAGTCCTCATCGGTAGATGTCATAAATATATCCCGGATCTGTTGTTCCTCATCCAATTCCTGCTCACTAGTACCCCCTTATCCCCTTCTGGCGCCCGTACTACTGCTTGCAACATTATTTACAGGCTCTGCTACAACACCATGAGTCAAGATATTGACAAACTGGAATGTGTCCAAAGAAAAGCCACCAAGACGATTAGAGGTCTGAGAACCAAGTCTTATGAGGAATGTTTTAGGGTGCTGGGTATGCTTAGAAAAATCTGAGAGGTCACATGATATCTATCTATAAATATCTGAATGTTTTTTATGTAAAAGATAGAGCAAACCTGTTTTCTGCTGCTCCAGATATTAGAACATATAATGGGTTCATATTACCAGAAAAGAGATTTCAAGCAGTGGTAAAATGGACTGCCTTTGGAAGGTGGTGGCATCTCCAATTTTGCAGATCTTTCAATAAAAGTTTGGTGACCCTCTCTTTTTCCTACATTTTCCTGGACACCAGGGATTTAGCTAAAGAGCCCTTGCAGTGTCCACCAAGTCTTAGGATTTTGCAAGTGTTTATGCCTTCTTATGTTCATTGTTACACTGTGAGATACAATGGCCATCTTTCTTCATACTCAGAACTCTGATAGCTGGATTCACCTGTCTTCTGCAGAGACTCTCCACACCTGTCTGTTAGGGGACAAGCACAGCCATGTAGAGGTCCAAGAGGTTGTTACTGTGCATCTACCTATAGCAGTGGTTCTCAACCTAGGGTCCCCAGATGTTTTTGGCCTACCACTCCCAGAAATCCCAGTCAGTTAGCTGTTAGGATTTCTGGGAGTTGAAGGCCAAAAACATCTGGGGACCCCAGGTTGAGAACCACTGACCTATAGGAACATACCTAGATGCTGTGCACTCACCCAACCAATAAATGGCCACTAGTGAGATAGGAGACAGGGGAATTCTCAATTCTTGATGAAGCACAGTTCCAAAGATACAGAGCCTTGTCCAAAGCTTAGTGGTAAAAATCGCTTTTATAACTGTGTGTTGTTTTTAGATCTGAATGCCAAGGGCGTGATACTTAAAGCATTTGAAGGGTTCCATTTAAGATCTTGTGTAAAATTCAAACCATACACTGGAGAGAAATCGTATATAAAATTTCAGAAGCTTAATGGGTAAGTAAACAAATTATGTCATGGAGGAAAAGATAGAAAATCTGTGCAATGTTTTTTGAATGGTAGCACTAGCTAGTGCCTTTCTTAAAGCACTCACAAAGGCTCATAAAACGTTAGGATCACTGTACCCCATCTCTTCCCAGATCTTATGATTTGGTTTGATTGTTTAGGTGGCTCAAAGGTCATTGTGAAAGATCCCGAATTAACAAGCATAATTGCCTTTAAATAAAAACACAGTTGTAGTTAACGTAGTAGAAGTTTCACTCAGTGCTCTTATGTGATTATCTGGTCTTACAGAGCTGTCATGCAACATATTATTCAGTTGTTCTTGGTTTTGCTACAATTTTGGTTCAAAATTGGATTTTCCCCATTTTATCACAAATAAGCTACTCCCTTGCATAGTAATTCTCCCCCCCCCCCCCCCCGATATACCTATGTACAATTTTCCATACACCTATATGAAGAAAGGATTGTAGAAATTACATTTCCCGTAAATTTGGTGCAAGATGTTGGATCAAAGAAGAATCCAAGTAGCAATATTTGTAAGAAAATTCCTAATTGTATTCAAAGTTGATGTTGAGAATTTCTAGCACTGTTATAATATTGTCGGCTAAAGAAAACCTTCTATCTCGCTGAATGTTACAGTATCCTTGACAAAAAAAGCGATGTGTTGAGATAAAAAGGAGACTCTTTCTCATATTTTGTGTGTGTGTGTGAGAGAGAGAGATTTTGAATTTGGTGACTTCTGGAGGGAAAGCCTTTTAATGGGGAAAAAAGTTTGAACAAGGCGTGAACATACTTTTTTTGGAGAAAATACACAAGAATTCTCATAATCCTTGAAATCAAACTAAGAATTCGTCTTTGTATATGAGAATGAAGTAAACAAAGATTTACATCTCTGGCTTCATGCTTACAAAATGAATACTTATTGCTTACTTACTTACTTACTTACTTACTTACTTACTTACTTACTTACGCGATCCCTCATAGTCCGAGGATGATGGTCCTCCAAGGTCGGTGTTCTGTCGGTGGGTCTGTAGGTGACTGTGGAGCCCTATTCTTGATCTGCATCTTCTTCCGCAGTGAGGGCATTGGTTTCCAGGTGGAAGGCTGTCCCGGTCGGGGTTGGCTTGACGCGCCTTCCTCTTGGCACGTTTCTCTCTTTCACCATTCATGCCTCTTCAAATTCTACAGCACTGATGGTCACAGCTGACCTCCAGCTGGAGCACTCAAGGGCCAGGGCTTCTCAGTTCTCAGTGTCTATGCCAGAGTTTTTAAGGTTGACTTTGAGCCCATCATTAAATCTCTTTTCCTGTCCTCCGACATTCTGTTTTCCATTCTTGAGTTCGGAGTAGAGCAACTGCTTTGGGAGATGGTCATCGGGCATCCGGACAACATGACCGGTCCAGCGGAGTTGTTGGCGGAGGACCATCACTTCAGTGTTGGTGGTCTTTGCTTCTTCCAGCATGCTGACATTTGTCCGCTTGTCTTCCCAAGATATTTGCAGGATTTTCCGGAGGCAGCGCTGATGGAATCGTTCCAGGAGTTGCAAGTGATGTCTGTAGACAGTCCACGTTTCGCAGGCATATAGCAGGGTTGGGAGGACAATAGCTTTATAAACAAGCACTTTGGTATCCCTGCGGATGTCCCGGTCCCCAAACACTCTCTGCTTCATTCGGAAAAAAAGCTGCACTTGCAGAGCTCAGGTGGTGTTACACCATTAAGCTGTACTTCTGGCATTGGAGAAGGATTGGCTGATGACTGCCGGAAGAGTACTTTGGCTTTCTCGATGTTTAATGACAGGCTGAGCTGCTTGTATGCATCTGCGAAGGTGTTTAGAGTGGCTTGGAGGTCTTCTTCTGAATGCGCACAGACGACATTGTCATCAGCATACTGGAGTTCTATAATAGATGTTGTTTGTAACCTTGGTTTTGGCTTGTTTATGTGTTTGTGTGTTGTAAGTTTTAAGTTGCCTAATTTTTACATTGTACTGTATGTTTTCTTGCCTTCAAGAATACTGTCTCCCACCCCCCCACCCCCCCAAGATAACTCAGTTTAAGGACTTCTTTTTCAGGCTTATGAGATTTTAAGCAAAACCATTCTTCTTGACCATTGGAATGCTCAAAGGAGTAGCATTATATGTAAATATTTACATGTGTAAGGAGATTCATCACTAAGAGTGGAGTGCATTTGGATAAAAATAGGAGAAAAACAAAAGTGACGTCCCTATGATGGTTTAATATAAACATCCCAGCAAGTATTTGGAACAGATTGCCCTTAAATTTTGCCATCTATGCCTGTATGATTTCATCATGCTTTACACTTTTACTGCTTTTTATATAGTTGGAGTAATGTATTTTTAAATGCCGCTAGTTACCATTCCTATCCAACATTATTAAATTTTTTTGTGTGTTTTTCAGTTGCTGGTCTTCGATTGGAGATACGAAAGGTGGCCAAAACCTTTCTATTGGTGCAGGATGTGATCACAAAGCTATTGTAATACATGAAATCCTACATGCTCTAGGATTTCTCCACGAACAAACAAGGACAGACCGTGATGATTATGTCAAAATATGGTGGGATCATGTGCTTCCAGGTTGGTTTTAGTCCAGCCGCTTATATCCCAGGTTGACTTTGCTGACATCAAAGGTAAAACTCTTAGTAGGCAGTGCTCTGGATGACGTTAGAACATGAAGGAGCAAGTAAGTGGTGTGTAACGGCAGGGGACAGCTCTGACATGGGAGATGGAGGGGACTCCTAGAGGATGCCCAGTTGTGCCAAATCATGTTAAGCACAGCTTGGCAGTAGGGATTCCCTAAAAATGTCATGCAGGCCTGATCTGGTGTCCAGATCAGCTGTCGGTGTAGAAGGGCCCTGAGACAGTTTATTCTACCATCAAACTACTAATACAGTGGTGTTCTTTGGGTGAAATCTGAACATTAGTAATTTAAATCAATGTATTCATCTTGGTTTCTGAAGCAGCAAAGAATAAACTTGTTTCATGTTCTATACAACCTCACTTCCGGTATTTAAAGATGCCTATGATATCATAGTCCCCGGTGATATCATAGCCCCCGGTGGTGCAGTGGGTTAAAGCGCTGAGCTGCTGAGCTTGTTGACAGAAAGGTCGCAGGTTCGAATCCAGGGAATGGCATGAGCTTCCGCTGTCAGCCCCAGCTTCTGCCAACCTAGCAGTTCGAAAACATGCAAATGTGAGTAGATCAATAGGTATCGCTCCGATAGGAAGGTAACGGCACTCCATGCAGTCATGCCAGCCACGTGACCTTGGAGGTGTCTACGGACAATGCTGGCTCTTCAGCTTAGGGTTATAAAATTTGAAGAAAATGGCACTCTCTAACTTGACGCCTTCCTAAGGTCTTGAGCAAATGCCCCCATAATCCCCAAGTCATATGGCCAGTGACCAATGGTCATGTAACTGGGGATGATAGGAGATGTCGCCCAACTGTTCTGCACCACACCCCAGAGTCGGAGACGACTGGACTTAATGTCAGGGGAAAACCCTTACCTTTACATATGATATCATCTCCCAACCTTTTCTTCTCCAAACTAAACATATTCAGCTCCTTAAGCAGTTCCTCTTGAGGTGTGGTCTTCACATCTTTGAGCACATACCAGCTTGCCAATATTCTTGAACTGTGGTTGACAAAAACTGGACACAGAAGTCTGGGTGGGGGCTGACATAAAAGCAGAATAGCTGTGCAAAATCGATCACACAATAGGATTATTCTCTCATAGCTGGTGGTATCTTTGAAATTTGGACTTTCATAGCATAGTTTTTTATATATATAAGATCTATTTTTTTCAGATCTGAACTTCTCTGAAGTCCTCTTATAAATCAAAGTTTGCCTTAGAAATGACTATGATGTATTGTTGAAGGCTTTCATGACCGGAATCACTGGGTTTTTTCGGGCTATATGGCCATGTTCTAGAGGCATTCTCTCCTGACGTTTCGCCTGCATCTATGGATGCTTGCCATAGACGCAGGCGAAATGTCAGGAGAAAATGCCTCTAGAACATGGCCATATAGCCCTAAAAAACCTACAACAACCCTCACTACCTCTGAGGATACTTGCCATAGATGCAGGTGAAATGTCAGGAGAGAATGCCTCTAGAACATGGCCATATAGCCTGAAAAAACCTACAACAACCCAATGACTATGATGTTCATTAAATTTTAGTACTTGATCAATTTATGCTGTAGGAAAGAACTGGAATTCCTTTTCAACCAATTTTAAGAAGTAGCTAAATATTTCTTCTTCTCTTGTCTTGCAGATCAAGCACACAACTTTAATAAGTATGGAAGCAACTATCTCACTGATTTGAATACTCCCTATGATTATGAGTCCATCATGCACTATGGTCCATCTTCATTTGCCAAAAATTCAAGTTTAGCAACAATTACTACCAATATACCTGAATTTAATGGCATTATTGGACAACGGTTGGATTTTAGTACTTCTGATATTGAAAGACTAAATCGCATGTACAACTGCAGTAAGTTGACATTTAACTTGAAATTGCAGACCAATATTAATCAATCATTCACTTTTGAAAAGGGTTGTTGTAGGTTTTTTTGGGCTATATGGCCATGTTCTAGAGGCATTTCTCCTGACGTTTCTCCTGCATC